TCCCAGATCTTGACGGTGTTGTCGCCTGACCCGGACGCAACGAGCTTCGAGTCGGGCGAGAACGCGACGGACCCGACGGAACCGCTATGCCCCTCGAGCGTCTGTGTGCATGCATTCCAATCTTCTTCTACAACCGGCCCGGCAGTAATCCACCTCATTTCCCTCTTATACAGATTTCGTGTCATGCTTCTGGCAGGGCTGAAGGCAAGTGCTGAAGCGTATACCTGAAGTGGATGGTTTTCAACTAGCTGACTGCAGTATTGAACAAATCGGCGCATGTCATAAACCAGCCTTGGTAATTGTGATGCAACGTTCTTTTGCTAAGTGATGTTAGAAGCACTAAGTGAAAGGATAAATATCACCAGGTAGAACCAACCTGATGAATGCTCTCTAGCTTCGCCATTGACAACACCCCCTGCGACATGCTCCTGCAAAGTGAGAGAGCTTCGAGCCAGTGGAGATAGTGCTGCCTCAGAAATTTATCGATGACACCGCCATCCTGGAAAACATCTGGGTGATTGGTATTCTTGCTTGACTGCCAATTGTAGAGATGATCAACCCAGTAGACGCAAGCATAGCGTGCGGCTGCTAACGGGTCCAGGTTAGGCTGGTTGACATTTTCGATGGGAAATCCGGGGGTAGCCAGGCCGTACATGTCGTGTCGTAAGGCCGTGGACATGACATGTAGCGATTGGGAGAAGATACCGTAGTGTAAGAGTGCCACACCAGAAGGGAAAATCTCGTCCACTGCGTCTTTCGACAGAAATTCCTTTGCCGATTGATGTACGAAATAGATGATGGATTCTCGAAGGGTCAGAAAAGAGCCGCAGAGTCCTATTATCTCTGTCAAGAATTCTAGATTGTCAGAGATGTCCTCGGATATGTCAATGAACGACGTCAGCTCTTGTATCGTAATAGGCCGGTAAGTACTGCAAAGAACAGCCAGCACTTGTTTGCAGAGATCTGCCTCGTCCGAGCAGCGAACTTGAGCCATCATTCGTTGGTAGAGAGAACCAAGACCTGGTGGAAACGTGTTCAACTTGGTAAGAACCCTTGACCGTGAGTACTTCGTGAGTTCTTGACAGACCAAAGCCACCCAAAGGAATGTGTTATTTGCATTGCGGGTCAAGTGGACTTGAACAGCGTGCTGTGTTTTGTCGTCGTATCCCTTTAGCTGCGCTAGTTTATCTACCTTGTACTGGACATATATGCTGACAGCAGACGAGACGGATTTTTCATTTAGCTCAAGACTGAGCCTTGTCTTCTGTTCAGCGGCTTCTAGACTTTCCTCGATGTCTGGCCAGTTGCGACTGGAGACGATCCACTTGACATAAGGAACTGTAGATGTCATCTCAACGATAAATTCGAGAAGTTCTCGCCGACCGCTCATGCATTCGTCGAGCGCATCGATGACCAGGTAGGCGCCCTCCAGGCTTGGGTCTTGCAGAATGGTTTTGAAAATTTCGGATAAAGCAACCCATCGATTCGCATCTTCAAAGAGTGCTTTTCCTGCATGCTCGTACTTTTTCCGCACGTAAGGGATAAGGGATGGCTGCTGGTTGAGGAGCATGTAGATGAGGCCGCGTAGGATTGCGGAGGCATTGTTGATTCGCTCGTCGGTGGCCTGGCAGAAAAAGAACGATAGAGGGGCTGTTCCCAAAGTCAATCTCTGCAGCTCATCGATAATGCCGCAGAGTAACATTGTCTTGCCCTTGCCAGGATCGCCCTTGACCCAAAGCAGGTTGCTGTCTAGGCTTTTACGCCATTGTTGGAATTCAGAGTTATCAAGGACCCAGTGATACACGTCTCGTAACAGGCCGCCTTTCGTGTTTTGGATGCGCTTCTTGTCGTCGCGCGGGTCGGTCAGGCGGAGGTCTCGGAGGCATTGTGTATCCTTCTCATCTCGGTGAATCTCCTTGCGCAGAGTGTTGCCATCCTGGACAGCTTTGTGGGTCTTCTCTTGCACCGCGATGCTGCTTTGAAGGGCTTGATGAATATCTCCAAGTAGCGCTTTCCTCTCTTCGGCTTTCTCAACAAGCTTTCCTAGGAGGCTCTTGGTATGCTGACTGTTGAACTGATTCAAATCGGCCTGAAGGCTTGCCTCGGTGTCTGTGACGCTCTTCAGATAGGCATCCCACTCGTCGACGTTCACAAGGCCGCGGAGAACGATCCAGGTTTGATGCCGGTAGAAAGAGCAAACGCTCTTCATCTGATACAAAAGGAGAGCCTTGTAGAGCTCAACGATCCTGTTTTCCAACTGAAGCTGGACAGACTTGAAGCTCTCCTTCCCAACCACAATGTTGCTCTGGCTCAGGATATGTTCAGACAAGGCACAATACCAGTCCATCCGGGACATAACATGCGCGATGCCCGCTAGATTGGACTGTATTGCTTCAACAGGATTCAGCAGGATCTGGATGGAGGTTAACTAAGACAACTTTTGGGCGGCCGTGTACGGATACGTACCTGCAGTCCAATGCAGACACCAGCCCACGGCAGCGCTGCTTGCGGTATGTTCTGGATCGCCCTGTCGACCATGGCCTTGGCTGAGAGAACGAATTGGACGGCATCACCGACACCCTGCGTAATCTGCGACAGCCTGGAAATTTTTGCTTGGCCTTCCTCTACCAGCTTTCTCATGTGCGCCTGCCGCTGGCTCGGGTCTTTCAGTGTTGCAGAAACGTCGAGGGCGGGTTCACCATTCCTGTCCCCAAGAACTTTGTCCATGGTTGCTATGTACGACTCGACAAGCTTTGTGGTGTCCTTGTCCTCCGCGAGGCTGTTGTACGCGGCGTTCCAGAGTCTCTGTGACGTGGGAAGGACAGGAGTCGGTTGCTCTGATATTGACTCGAGCGCTTTTGGCTCGGCCCAGGATTTGATGTACGGTGCGGGAGGTGGAGCTTGCGACGTAGTGGCTGGTTGGTGATGCCCTGTTGCTCTTGCATCTATATTGGATCGGTGCACGCCATCATGATCGCTGGGCGCGGGGGTAGGAGTACCCGGCTCTGTCGTGGTGCCGGATGGGGTTGTTGGTCCGTCTGTTGGACATGTCAGTCTTGAGAAGGCAATCCGGCGCTCGTCTCAACGTACCCGTGGACTGTGTAGCAGATGGAGCGAGCGAGGTTGCACCATGATGACTAAAAGGCTTCTTTGACAACAACCTCTTCAGCGAATCCATTTTTCTTTCGCGCATATAGCTTCGGCGAGGATAGTTGTCCAGAAGAAAAGAGGCTATCGACAACAGCAGCGATATTGTGAAGTTGGGACTGCATTTCGCACGTTGCCGCGGAGCGGAGCTGAAAGATGCAGCTGTCTCGCTTGGCGGACGCCCAAGACAGGCTATGGCGCTGCGAGTACTCGGCGCAGGTCAATGCAATTGGTGAGACCTGCATTAGCCCGCTCTCAGGTGGCTGCGCTGCGGCTAATGCCGATTGGCTGTTGCGATGAGGCCGCCGCGAGGGCGTGACGTGGCATTGCCCTACTGCTGCTTTTATCGCTGACACCCTTGGCTTCCTCCGTTGCTGATGACGCCGTCCCGCTTTGTGGAGGCTACAATCCCACACATATGGTGGGTGGGGAGGTGGTTAAGATGAAGTTTGAGTCCTGGTGCCTATTATTTCTTAATTCAGTGGCTCGGCCCCCTACTTGATGAGGTACTGGAACGCGGCCGTGTACCCGGCCGCGGTGGCATGGTAGAGCGGCCCTCATTATCCTTTGTGTCCTTACCGGCCTCCTGCTTGACGAGGTACTAGACGATAGCCCTGTGCCTGGCCGCGGCTGCTCTACGATCTCTTTCTCTCTTCACAATGTCGTGTGACATATCCACGAGTACAATGGCCTGTGCGGCAGCTGCATTTGCAGTTCCCTCCTTGTTCCAACCCATCTACACATTTCGGGATTCTATCATACAGTATGAAGGTCCAATTCATTCCTTGGTCGTTCCAGACGGTTGCTTTGCTGTAATAAGTAAGGTAGCTTGTGAAGAGCAAAGTGGGAAACGCGTAGATATTGGAGCGACCTTCTACTGGTAGAAAGCTGTGAATGTGATTGTTGCTCCGAGGCTCCGTTCGTTGCCATTTTCAAAAGTGCGAGACTCCGATCCGTTCTATTTCCAGATTCATCAATGTTGTCTTGGTCCTGTTGGAAGAAATCAACAGGCACGTACAGGGCGCATTAGTTCCCGCCAGGTTGGTTGCACAGGGTTAAGGGATTTGATAAGGACGAATCCTTCTGCAGGACCTAGGTCAATACTTATGTACTAGACTGGCCCGGGAGGACTCCTGAATGAACAAAGACATAGGGGCTGCGTGACAGAGGCAGGTTTCCAAGCCAGGAGCTACCCGAATCAGTATACGAAAAATACCTAAGGTACCTATCAGATAGCCAGACGTTGTATACATGTACTAGTACTAGATTTACTAGGGCTACATAATCCTAGGCTTGATATTGGTCAGTCCAATGAAAACTGGAAAAGGGGAAAGCCATTACTTGTTCATAGCTACACGAGCTGCAAGCCTTGAACGGCCGGTTACCGGTGTTGGGAGTAACCTCGAGGGTAAGTGGGTAACACAGGTCTGTTACATGTACCGGCGTTCAAAAGTCCCGTCGATGCCTTTGTATGTATGTCTGTGTCTAACGTGGTGTATGCCATAGTATATATACGAGTAACCAACCTAGAATGCATTAGCGAAAGGGGTCTAATCCCATTGTTTAACTCGGGTCAGAACAAGACCATGATGAACAAAGAAAACGGCAGGTACTAAGGATAGACTCATCCATGCTCAAAGAAGTTTCGAGTGGATTTTAAGCCATCCTGCACTTGCACTTGAATGACCGAAACTGCTAGCAGGCTAGACCATTCTACCTTGGACATTAAATTTCTCCAGTCACCTTCCACACATCATACCCGAGTAAGGTACACGTGCGATCTGCAAAGAACCATGGCTTCCGATCCCGCCGACCAGCTGCCTCCAATCCCGCGGTTCGTGTCAGTTCCCATCCACACCTATTTCTCGTACGACCCCGAGGGACTCCGAGATTACCTCAACAAACACCAAGAACTAGAGCAGAAACTGAGAATGCGATACCTGTTTGGTCTCCTGGGAGCCCGGATTGCGGCAGGTAGCAAGGATCCAAAGGAACCGGCAGGTACCAAGAATCCAGAGGAACCAGAAGATAGCGAAGATGCAAATGAATCGGAAAGAAGCAAGGACGCAAAGGAATCGACAGGGGCCAAGCATGCACATGAGATTGGACATATCCTCTTCGACCTGGCTCCAGGAGAGGACTCACTATACAGATGCAGTTATGTGACAGAAGGCTGGGGCTTAACAGAAGTCCATGTCCAGCACATACCTTTTGACGAGGAGAAGGAGATGAGCAATCTCGAGTTCTGGGAGGAGATTTGCGGCTTCAACCCTCAACTAGTACCCAGCCCTTACCCTTTCTCCAAAGCATACGGCCTCTTTGGCCGCTACGGGCGCTACGAAGGCGTCATCCACGAGCTCTGCTCCCACGACCTTAGCAAGACAGTAGCACACTTCTGCTGCCCGGTTGAGTCGCTAGAGCCCGCTTATTGCAAGGGTGAATCTCAATCAGGCGAAAAGCGGCCCCTGATGATGATATGGGAACCGTACTTTGAGGGGAAATTCTGCGTTCCCAAGAATCTGGAAAAGATCAAGAAGGCTTGCGGGCAGTTTGACGTTGTCATAACCAACCATGTCGACTTGCAGGCCATGTTCTCCGAGGACCCGGAGCGATCATCCTCCATCCGCCGCCGTATCCTCCGGAAACTCCTTGCCCACAGCCCTGTAATGGAGATTCTCGCCCGTCGATTCCGCGTCGAGTCGTATGCCGACGAACTGCTACGAGCTGGTGTCGGCCGTTCCGGTACGGGATGGGTGGTGGTACGGGCAGGGACGCGTGGCTGCCTCGTTGCGTCGGCACAGGGCGAACGCGTGTGGCTTGGACCAACGCGGGAATGCTTTGCGTACGGTGGTGAGGACGACGGTGGGGTTTGGCGTCCCATGTTTGCTGGGGCACTTGGCTATGCCGTGTCCAGAGGGGATTCACTGGTGGAGGCGGCAAAACTTGCAACTGTTGTCTTGGAATGTCGGAGGTACATGCCACCACTATGGGTCGTTACCAAGGAGCCAACCGAGCCATATGTGGACAAGGTCCCGTCGCCGTCGAAATGGTTGCTCCGGCTAGAGGGCCAGCTGGAGAAAGAACTCGAGGATTACAAAGCAATAAGTAGCGCATCTTGGTAGCTTAGTCTAGTATAGGAACGGACAGCATCCGTATTAGGATGAAATAATGCTGTTTGCTAGGGCCAAAAGACCATCATATCTTTCCCACACCAGCCCATGTCTTCACAATCGGTGCAACCAGCGGCAGTGGCGTGAGCTTGAAGTTGTACGGGGCCTTGACAAAAGTCCCGACCTGCGTGATATTCACCCCAGCATCGCCCCAGTCGTTCCCTGTTACACATTGTCAGCAGGCATCCTGTGTACCAGATTCCCACTACTACTAGTATGACACTTTGACTTACTCGCTCCCAGGTTTGCGAACCCATCCAGCTCCTCATCGCCGCATGTGCAGGTATTGGGCGAGTCCTCCGGGATGACGAGTCCGTAGGTGCTGAGCGCCTCGCGCGTCTTTCCGCGGAAGACGTTACCCTCAACAAGCACCTGGTTGTCAGAGCGGGAGTGGATCGCCTGGTACAGGAAGTCGACGTAGAGGTTGTTGTAAACGTGCTGATGCCCAAAGCGGCCGGCAGGACCACGCGTGCCCTCGTTGCGCCAGTGGTTGTGATGATAGGTGACGTGGAGGTGGCCAAAATCGATGTCGCGGAATGCGGGATCGTTGCCGACCAGAGACGACTTCCAGTGGTCGTGGAAGTAGTTCCAGGACACGGTTATCCAGTCGGATCCTCGGATGATATCGACTTGTCCGTCCTTTTGAATCAGTTAGTACCATCACTCCAAGAGCCAGTACTGGATTCGATTTTGTCGACTAGGGGTACTCACGTAAAAGTCAGGGCCCTTGGAAATGTCCGACGCAAACTCGTTGTGATCCACCCAGACCCTGGTCGAGTTCCGGATGGTGATGCAGTCATTGTCCTGGATAAAGGTGATCTTCAGGTTCTGAATGATGACATTGGTCGAGTTGACCACATCCAGGCCGCTGCCGGTGATGTGAGCCGTCTTGCCAACGCCAATGACGGACTTGTTGGACCCAATCTTTGGGCGGGAAGTGAAGTTGAGCTCCCCCTTGACCTTGACAATCCTGCGCTCGTCACCCGCAACAGCTGCTTTGAAGTCGTCCACATTGTCGACCGTCACGGTGGCGCCCCCTTTTCCGCCCGTGGTTGGGCCGATCGGATTGTCTTTGGCGAAACCCTCAACGTCCCAAGCGGCGAGGCCAAGCCAGCTGAGGGGGGACGCTGCCACCAACGGAGTGGTGGCTGAGAGGAGTACGATCAAGTTGTTGAGCCGCATCCTGGGCGATCCGAGTACCTGGGTGGCGGATACAAGCTAACGGGACAGCAACGGATGGGAGATGCTTTCATATGAGAAAGAACGGAGGATGTTCATTATAATATACTCAAATATGGATGGGGCCAATAACCTGGTGCACCGTATACTACCTCGCGGCCCGGGTCTCCAGCCACCGTGAGGCGTGAGCCGTGTCCATGTCTTCGACGTGACACCTACAAGCAGTGACCAGCGTAGTGCAAAATGGAGAAATAGATTTCCAGCGGGGAACCCTGTCACTAACTACCGAAAACTCCATCATTGACGAGGTTGCAAGGTCAGTAGCGCCTTTACCCCAACATCTTGGATTTACCCGTCTCTCCACGGCCGCTGTGCCAAGCTGCCATCGGCTGCCGAGGTGTTGCATCTGAGTGGTGGAAATATCCTCTCCGACTGCATACCGGCGGGAACCACTCCGATCATGTAAGGTACGCGAACGCGTAAGTTGTCTTTCTCCTCAGTACCATGCTGATGGATCCGGACAAACTGGTGGCGATTGTGTGTAGTTATGTGTCATTGTGTTCATGTTCCGCACCGAATACCTGGCCATGGGATCTCGCCTTGACAGTCAGCCTCGGCTACATGTGTTTTACTCTTCTCTTGAGAAGTTAAGGTCGGAAGTCGCAGAAGCTCGTCTCCTTACTGCTGCGAACCCCTGAATCGCTCATGGTAGACACCGTAGCCCAGACCAGTCACTAAGATACTAGTAAGTATAAGGGGCAGTTAGAGCAAACATGAAGCGTACCATGCTTATTAGCATTTTATGCACGTGTAGATGTCTGGTGCTCTTGATAAGCTGTCTAGGTATGTAACATGACAACACCGAGAATGAGATCGGAAACCTCTATTAATCTATTTGAACCTTAGTTACTTAGTATGTTTACTTTCTTCCTGATCGCCCGGCTTCTCCTCTCCCTGTGACCCATCGCCTCCCCTCTTCTTCTTGTCCTTCAGCTCCCGCTCAATCCGCGCGATAACCCCTTTCAGCATCTTGAGCTTCTCCATACCAAGCTTTCCTGGAAACCCATAGCCATCAATCTCATGCTTGACCTTCAGCGTATATTCGAGCGCCTTCTCGAGGTTGCCAACGTGATAGTAAAGCCGCGCAGGCACCTCGTACATGTCACCCATCTGCTCTGTCAGGCCCTCCTCTTCAACCAGGCTAAACAGGGTTTCGGCAGCCGTAATGGCTTTGTTGAACTCTCCTTTTTGCGCCAACTTGACTACCTCTTCCCTGAGAGAGGGGATCTGGGCGCGACGTGTGTCTGAGGCATTGAGTGCCTCAGGGGAAGAAGTGCAGAGTGAGCATTGGCTGTCTCGGTGTTAACTCATCCGCTGTCTCCTTATGCTGTAAGAGAAGGATATTCATACCACTTAAAGCCCCAAACCTTCTCCAGGGTCTGCTGCCGCTCTTTTGACGTCATGCCGGCGGCCGAGTCTGGATCATTCTAGTGTAAGCTGTCGCCCGACTATCACAGGGGCCTTAAGGTAGGTGACAAACAAGTAATCGTGATTTCCTCCCCCGGCTCAATGTCCCGAGCAGCCCAAACCGTCATAGCCAACGTAGTTTCTGAGAAGTGGATAAACGCGCTGGATGACTTTCTGTCAGTCTCCCCTTTCCCTGTCATTCACCAAGTGCCAAGGGAGCAACTCACTTTGGCTTGCAGTCATGATTAAACCTCTTCATGTAGGTCATCACCGATCTTCATCAGCTCATGATTCCTCACGCAGCACACGCTCAACCCCCAACTTGGAAGAATCTCAAGGCCAAACTCACCGCCAAGTCACTAAACAAGCCCATAAACTCCCTCCCACCGATGACCACCCCAAACGAGTTGGTCAGCATGACATCCTCCATGACACTCGCCTCCGAGTCCATGTCACCCTCCGCATCCTCCCCACCCCCATCTTCAAGTCCCGCAGATGCCCTCCCCTCCCCCTTCCTCGCCAACCCCGTAACCTTCCCCGGCTCCCCCAACCTCTCCGCCGCAATACTCAACAACTCCTGCACCTCCTCCCGGAGCACATCCGCCGGGTACTCCACCGCAGCAAGCACACTGGCATAATCAACCAGCACCGCCCGGCCCTTCTCAATCCTCCTTATCGCCACGGCGCCCTTGCCCTTTCCCGGTACGTCACGCACCTTGTACGGGCGGGGGTCGGTATACAACTTGTCTGGGGCAAAGAATGGTGCGTGGAAGCGGTGCTGCGCCGGGTGCAGCAGCGGATCGGATGATGCGATATCCGGCGTGGTGATGATGCTGATCCCGATCCCCGGGCCGGGGCCGGAGTCAGACCCGAGGGCGGCAGCGTTGGTGTATACGCACCACGGCTCGTCCGAGGCGGGGATGCAGTGTGGTGGGTGCGTCCAGGGGGTCCAGCTTGCGGGGGGTGATGAGGAGGAGGAGATGAGAGCGTCGAGGCAGACGGGGTGGCGCAGGAGGTGGGGAGGCGAAGTGCCTCGGCCGCAGACCTGGCTTTGTGGTGAGGATGATGATGATGGGGAGGACTCGGAGGTGGAGGGTTGTGTGAGGGACACGGTGAGCTGGGCTAAGGAAAGGAAAAGGGCTGTAAGGGACGGCATCCTCGCCGCGGGGGTTGATGCTGTTGACCAGGACATGTATGCAGGCTTGGAACGGCCGATTGAGGATGATGGGGATAAGAGTTACTTGGAGTATTAGTAGACTGACGGTGAGATGTGGTGTCATCTGAAGGTTTACGTGAATGAGGATGAGTTTGCGCATAGACCGTAAATTGAAATTGACAGCTTGTCTCAACGGCGTTGCCACCGGCGTTGTTGGTACCATTTAGCCGGGGCGTATGAACGTGGTGTTTCATTGCAGCCGTTGAGCAGGACAACGTAACAGGCTGTCTGGTACCGCGGAACTTTATCCGCAGAGTCGTACTAGGAAGCAAATAACTGTCTTCTGGGTGTATAGGCACGCTGGCTGCCGGATGCTGCCTGCTATAAGCGCATTGGGAAGTATCAAATCTTAGGTTCCAAGTTAGCTCAGACAACGGCCATATAAACGTCCATCCCCGTGTCAGTCTCCCACTTCACCGTCACCCCAGGCGCAACGAAGTATATGGCCCCCTCCTCTAACTCAAACGCCTTCCCGTCTGTCTCCATCCGCCCAGCTCCTCTTGTAACAATCATCACCCCCGGCCCGTCACTCTCCGAAATCTCATCCGCTTCCCCGGCCTTGAGCCCAGCTCTGAGCATATTGAACTCGCTCATCGGCGGAGCATATACCCTCGTCCTCCCCGTTTTGCTCTTCCCCGTCTTTTCGTCCCTCAAGATGATATCACCAACAGAATGCGCCTGGAATGTAAGCGTCTCGGTGAACAGGTCGATGTCATTTCTATCCGCAGGCGGACAGAAGCCCGAGTTGAGCACGTTGTTGCTCCTCGCCATGCACTCAACAATATCCCCACTCAGGTAGGCGTGGATGCCGTCCGCAGGGATAAACAATGCTTCCCCGGGCTCCAGGACCATAAAGTTCATGCATGTCAGGGCGACTAGCGATCCGGGATCCCCCGAACCGTATTGCTTCTGCAGGCGCGGGAGCAAATCTGGGATGTAGGCTGCCCTTGCTTCACCGAGGTCGGCTTTGGATGTTGCGAGGAGAAGGTCTTCGACACGTTTGACGGTCGCCTCATCGGCTTTAAGCAAGTTGCGTGTAACCTCACGGAGGGTTTTGTCGGTCCATTGGGTGGTGTGCATGCCCTCTGGGACGAAATTGCGGAGGGCGGGGAGGTTGAAAAGGGGAGCGATTTCGGATAGGGGCTTGAACCCCGCAAACACCTCGAATTTGGAGAGAGCGACGGCAATTTCGGGTTTGTGGTTGGGGTCGGTGAAGTTATCGGGGTCTTTGGCGTGCAGTTTGGCGGCAAGCTCTTTGTTGGGATGGATCTGGAGAGGGAGTGCCTTTGCGATGGAAAGGATCTGCAAAGTGTGTGTTAGCAGACGATATTGGGTACACATCCACGGATCCTACGACCGAAACATACCTTGGGGAGGAATGGCAGCTGGCCGCCCAGATTCTCAATCACCTTCTTGCCCAGTAAGGTCTCCTTGTTCTTTTCGAGAACATCCTTCAGCGGCTCTCCCGTCCTTAGAACGCGAGCAGGGTAGTCGGGATAGTCCCCGAACCACATCTCTGAGTAGAATTCATCGTCCTTGATCTGGAAGCTCTGATCTGTTTTCTTGCAGAGCCGGGCGGCAAGCGACTGCTGTCCCTGCTTGCCCCAGGGGTAGTTGTTGCAACTGCCGACAAGCTGAAAGACACGGTCCGTCATGGTGGACTCGGAGTGCGTCAAATTTGTTGGACACCAGGAGAGATCAATTGTCGCGAGTCACCCTCACCCATCGCAGGGCCCGAGTGCTCTAATATCTGTCGACTTGGCTTGAAACTGGTGTAGCTGTGTAATGCAACACGGATGTCGTCATGATACATGTCGTCACTGACTTCCGGCTACTTGTGTGGGGCCGGCTCGGTGGGGCCGAACATGCTTGCTTCAGCCGGACCCGGTAGGTCGGTACGTCAGAGCTTTACTGTGTAGCCCTAGCGTACAATCCGAAATGAAGCTGCCAATTAGCGCCATTGATGTCACTTCTCTTTGAGGCAAGGCGAAGTTCCACACGTCCTCCAAGCCAGCATCTCTTAAGAACGGCGGAGGGTAAGATGCGCAAAGACATTTGAACTTGCCCTCTCCTCCTTTTGCTTACATTGGTACTGGTTGCACAACTCTCGACCAAGGTATGGCGTCTGAAGGCGTGCCACCGGATGTGTCCAGCAACGGCAAGACCACCAATAATGGGTCTGGCGTCGGGACTAAAGACTACCTTCCCATCCCTGAGGCCGATCCCACCGAGGCTAGCGGCAGGGAGACCCTGAGGGCCTCAGATCGGCTCGAAGGAGGACAGACACGCTCGCACGCCCTGGCCACCGACAGCCAGGATGAGGACGGGATGGCCCAGCAGGACCATGACCACCAGGTACTGGACCTGGGGTGGAATGCAGAGAAAAAGCAGGACGTCGCTGCGCCGCTGATTGGCGGCATGGATAACGAAGAGCTCTGGATGCTTATCCGGCGGTTCAACAAGGCGAGTTAGCAGCCAGGACACAGCCCAGAGCATCGCTGCCAAGGTCCACTAACACCCTGCAGCAAATCTACCATGTCAAGTACATCCCTCATCCAGCGCCAGGCGGTCTCGACCTCAACATTGCCGACGATGAGGAATTCTCTCCTGATAAGATGCGAGCCAATGTTGAGCGCCTCTACATGACGGTCGGCATCGGAGTACTGGCGGCGGTCAAGCACATTGCGCGCCTTCGGTCTTGGCGCGAGACTCGACGCACGGCATGCTTCGCAGCGGCCTACTTCGTGGCCTGGCTGTTCGATCTCCTCGCTCCTATGCTATCAGCTGTACTTTTAGCTCTCATTGCCGTGCCCAAATCGCGGGAGATCCTGTTCCCCCCGGCCCCGGTCTCTCTCGTCGACAGCAAGACCGGTGGCGTGCAGAAGCCAAAGTCGGGCGTCCTAGGCAGTCATGACAGCGCAACAGGGGCGCCAGAACACCACAAGGGCGAAGCCGTCGAGCAGGAAGCAAGCAACTTTGTCGGTGGTATCGCCTCGGTCGCATTGAGCAGCGCGGCTGGAAAGCACCCGCAAGGGGGACAGGAGTCGGACGAGAGTGCGGCAGCCAACGTAGCCCCTGACCCAACCGCTCTGGCTACCAAGGTTTCCGCCGCCAAGGACAACGCTGCAGGGTCGAAACCGAGCGAGAAGCATGACAAGACCAAGGTCCCCATGGAGACGGCCATGTGGAACAAGATGCGCCCCGTGATGCACACAATTGGGGCCGTCGCAGATACCTGGGAACGTCTGGCAAAGTAAGCCGCCCCTGGCCAGCCGTTTGCTTGCGAGCGCTGACTGACATCACGACAGCGCCCTCTCGCCAATCCCCCTCTTCCCCTCCGAAGTGTTCCGCCTCAGGCTCGTCACCCTACTACTTCCCCTCCTCTTCGGCCCCTCCCTCTTCGTAACGCCGTACATGTTCCTGAAAACCCTCTCCTTCCTCATCGGCTTCGTTTTCTTCGGTGACCCCGTCATCTCTCGCGGTCTGGCTTGGCTTAACCGAACAATTCCTAACTGGCAGAAGCTCCTCGAACTGCGCAAGTATGACTTCCCCCCACCACTCCCATGTCTCAGTGATACTCAACTGACCCCTCTCCCAATCTAGCACGATCCTCAAGGGCGTGCCGACCAACGCCCAAATAACACTAACACTCCTCCGGCAAGGGGAAGCCAACCGCGCACCGCTGCCACCGCCACCGGGGAGTATCACCGCGCCGCCGCCGCCCCCGGACCGGCCCGCGGCGCTCACAGAAGCCGACCTGCGCTCTGCGGGCGCCGAGCCGCCGCTGAACGCGTCCGAGTCGGAGCTGCGCGCCGCCATCAAGCCCGAGACACCGCCGGAACCGGCCGCCACCGGCGGAGATGTTGCTGCCGCTAAGGAAGCCAAGCACGGTAAGAAGGGCGGGCGGATCCTCGGCCTGCTCAAGGGCGCCACGCGCGCCGTCGTCAAGACGGCCGTCGGCACCGACTCGGTCCGCGCCAAGGCCGGCGACCTGCCCGCCAAAGAGCGCCTGGGCGTCCTACCGAATGCGCATGACAACACCAGCGTCGGCGGGCCGGTGGAGTTTGAGGGCCGGTTTGAGGGAGACAAGGGGCGTGTGTATATCAGCGAGGCTGGGACAGTGCCAGTGCTGGCATTTGGCAGGGGACGAGGGGGCACAACGGCGAGAATTGCGGGTGTTGATAGGGACGATGTGCACCCGGTTTGGAGCGTCCCTGTCGGGGATATCGTAGAGATCAAGAAGGTTGGCGGATATGGATGGAAGACCAAGTTGGTGGTCGGTTGGTCGATGGACAGGGAGGTCAAAGATGGGTTGGAGATTCGGACAGTCGATGGGAGGGAGTATAAGATTATGGCGCTACAGCTGAGGGACGAGCTGTTTAATCGGCTGGTGGCACTGGGAGGCCAGAAGTGGGAGGCATGGTGAGACTGAGGTGGTTGATCGGAAAATTGGTAGTGGTGAAAATGTTACTGCACTCCTGAGTCTTGTGCTTCGTTGGAGAAAAGATACTGTAACAATACCATTGCGAAGATTGGCGGTGGCTGTGGACCCAATCGATTGGCACACTGAATGGTCACGGACTACGTGGCCATTTCGCGAGCACATAACGCGCCATGGCTGTTTCCCGTCAGTTGTTCGGTTGTTTGCGGTGTTGAGTCGTTGACTGTTCAGTGGGAGAGTGGGAAGGAGAACCTGTGGGGCGGATTGGGGCCTGGGTGTTGGGCTTGGCGCCTCATCCCGAGTCATCCGTAGTGTACCACAGCGGGTCGAGTCTCGACGGTCTGACTTAGGTACCGGTAGCTCCTGCCTAAGAAGTGATCAGTCTAATGCTGCACTTAAGGTGAAATCCAGGTTTAACAATGCTGCTAGCTTTGCTTCACCGATTCCTTCTATCGCTCCTTGGAATTTTTGACTATACTAAACCCTCTTATCAATAGAAAATTTTGGAACACTGTGCCAAGAGCGACTGAGCAAGGTTCTATAGTGTAGCGGTTATCACTCCGGATTCTGATTCCGGCAACCCCGGTTCGAGTCCGGGTAGGACCTCAATTTTTCCGATTGCTCTCCTTTTGGCCTCCTCCGCCCTCCTTTCCTGGCCGACTTCACAACCAGCGATCAACATCCAACATGGGACTGAAGTGGAATCCGAGGTACAATGGTATTAACCTAGGTCTCAACTTTTGGAGGTATCAAACTATGAGATACTAAGCAACTTCAACAGAATAAAGAGATTGGTATTAACTTCGTCGCACCCACCACCAAAAGTTTCAGCTTGCAATCCCATCACGGACTTTCTCCCCAGCACTTCAGCACCTTACGACTGCTACATCACCTCCAAAGCGACCATCTGGTCCTGAAATATCCAATCTGTCCCGCCCTCTGCAAGCATTCCGGAACACTCAATTCCCTTAGGTCAAGGTATTAAACCTGCAAGGTTGAAGGGGGCCTGGACGGGCTACTCATTCGGAATTCTCATCCCAGCAGACCTTCATGGTAACCGGCCACGGCGTCAACGCGCCCCAGTCCTCACGCAGGTACATGCACTTGTTTCCACCCGCCACGCGCACCTTCTTCAGCTCGCCCTGCGGGCCGGGGGCGCGCCGCAGATTCGGCCGCACGAAAACCGCCCGGAACATCTCGGTCAGCCCCGCCTGGCTCATCTCGCGCCCCAGCGGCGTGCTGGTGGCGGGGAAATGCAGGTTGTAACTGCCCACCGGTCGGCGCGGGTCAACGGTCTCGGTATCGGATTGGGAGGCAGCGTTCTGTTTGTGGAGAGAGTGGGGGTCAGTATGTGCACCAAGGAGAGAGTAAAGACTCATCGGGGTTTGACTGCTACCAAACAAGGTAGTAGCAAGTACTCACCAGGTTGACCGTGACGCGATCGCCCGTTTGGACGGGCATCTCCCCGCCGATGGTTTGCAGTGTGTCGGCCGCCGTGGCGAGATAGGTGAACCGGGCCGCGGAAGACAGGCGCACGCCCTCGAGCACGTAGCCCAAGAGCAGGGCATCCGTGGTGTCGGATGGTTCCTGCGTGGCAAGCGTGTGGATGTCCTGCAGGTGGCAGGCGCCTCTCGGAGAAAGGTAGAAATCGACTGCCTCGGAGAACTGCAAGGTTGGGCCGTGTTGGTCATTAAATTGCAGGGCCACAGAGGGTTTGGGGGAGCCCAGGAACTTACCATCTTCGCTTGATACGAAACGAGTGCCGCGGCGGTGGTCAGCACGTGGGCCCAGGTGATATCATGGGTGCTCAGACCGGCCTTGGACAAGCCCTTGATGAGGCTTGCGCCGTACGCACTCAACGCGTCGTTCTTGTTCGCCTTGGGGCTCTTGACGGTGCGCTCGACCAGGGTGCTCAGCTGGCTGGTCACCGTCTTGGCAGCCTCTCTCAGGGGGAACATCTTGACCACGTCGACGTCGGTGAAAATGGCGGCCGCGGCGGTGGACAGGACGGCGTACAGCTCGTGCTCCGTGTAGATGCCTTTGCTGTTCTCCTTGGTCTGCACAGGGAGGTTGAAGATGCTCGAGACGAAGAGCGTCGGGGCCAGGTTGGCGACATCGCGCACGAGATCAACCATCCGGTTGCCGGCCAGGTTGTAACTCTTGCCGTTGAGCAGTTGGTTGGTCACGTTTCTGTAGAACGTCTTGACTTGGGACTCCACGTCAGCTGTCCACAGCGATTGGCTGACCCCGCTGCGGTGGTTGTCGTGCGTCGTTGCGTCTCCGGAGAGCTTGGTCTTGCCCTGCCCTGCAAGCGGCCGCAGGCCTTCGTGCCATGTAGCTTGGTACTTGTCTGGAGTCTCTGATATGCGCTGGGCCGCCTCATACGAGTTGACCTCCAACACCTGGGATTTGCGTGTTGGGCGCGAAAAGTCGAAGAGATGATCGCGCTTGAGATCCTTCAGGATCTTCTCCGTCTCCGAAGGGACGACCATAGGGTAGTGGGCATAGACAGAGTTGTGGGTAAAGTGGTTCGGGAATGCCCGGATGAAGAGCTTGTAGAAGACGCAGCCGTGGTTGATGTTGAGGTCGTACTGGACGTCGTTGTAACCCCAGTTGGTCAGGTTGCGCGGGTTGTAATCGGTCGTGTAATGCCGGTCACCTCGGACAAGACAGACGGCATCCGAGAGGACAACGCGAGAGATGGTGTAGGTGGGCGCAATCCCAACACCCGGGACCATGGGCTCCTTGTGCTCCTCGGCTACCAAGCCAGGATAGAGCTCGACGAAATCCGGGTGGTCGTACAGACGACGAAGCGACTCGGCGATCCCAGGGTCCGAGTTGATATCCTCGAATGACTCATACGGCTTGAGACCAAAGTGCTTTCTGAACTCGTTCAGGCCTGCGACGTTCCACTTCCGGCCCTGGATGATGCCCAGAATCTCGATAGCCCGCATCGACTGCGGCACGTTCCGCCCGCCAAAAGAACCAGCGCAGTCTTCGACGGCCGAGGTGATGCATTCGACGAGGTCATCGTCGTTTAACTTGCCGTCTGGACCCCTCTTAAACTTGCCAAATGGCCGCTCAAGCGGATCCTCAGGGATCATTCGCTCGAACTTGTCGAAGCCCATGACCAGGTCGTGAACCGAGACCTCAGAGCTCGGCTTCCCAAACAAGTCATGGTAGAACTCCTCGATCCACTTGTCGTCCTTGTCCGAGACACAGCTGTGCCACCGGTAGCAGAGGTTGAACTCGGCAGACACGACATTGCCCGTCCCGCGCTCGGCCCCTTCCTTTGTGCCCACGTCTACGCCCGTGTTTACGCGGGGGTCGAGAGTCCAGGTGGTGTCGACCCGGTTCAACTGTAATAGTCGTGTAAGCAGGAGGATCACCATTCAACACCAGACGAGGGGCCTTCTCACGTTGACAATATTCCGCACGTAATCCAGGAGAGTGATGTTGATGTACAGGCCAGAGGTGATCAGACGGGCAGTCTGGAACAGGTCGTTGTCGTATTTCTTCCATGCCGCGGCAGCCTGCTCTCCCTCCAGTGAGGGAGAAGGCCGGGTGAATTTCCCATCCTCGTTGATGGCAATCAGGTTTTCGCAGACGTAGTTATGAACCCGGTTGAACATGATCAGCAGCACTCCCACGCCTGGCGGCATCCCCAGCAGGCGCTTGTCGGCGAAGCAGTCGGGCTTCAGCTTGCCGTCCCGGAACGTTCGGATCGTATCCTGCATCTTCTGATTGCTCCCATACAGCGGGGAAAGGTCCAGATAGGACGATGTCTTGGACTTGCTCATGTCTCTGTAGTCGGTCCAGAAGAGATCTGCAGCTCACCGTCAGAAGTGCCACTGGTTTATGTACCGAATGGCAAATGTCAGGAGATTCGAGGCTCACCGTGAATGATGATGCTGGCCCAATACCACAGGATGCTCGAGACGTTGTTTGGGTGTTTCTTGTACTCGGTACGCTTCATTACCGAGTCATAGATGAGCGCCGGGTCGGGCAGGGCTCCGGGCCGTAGGACATTGGCGTTCACAGACCGTGCATATGAAGTACCGGCAGCCCCAAGCTGCGGGAACATGATGTTCTAGCAACAATCTTAGCATGTTTCGTAGTGAACAACCCAGCATTGCACAGTCAACCCACGTTGTACGACCCATCGGCCTGGCGATAGCGGTACTTGTCCCCAACATAGAGCGAGGGAGGGTGTTCCAGGGTATACCAGAGCTCGCCCAGAAAGTCATTTGTCAAGTTCACGCGCAACTTGGAGTTGCTGGGCAGATTGGAGACCAGCTGGATCAGGCGCTCCATCATCATCGTCTTGTCGTCGATCAACTTCTCGCCCTTGATTTTGGCCACGATCATGGTCTTGAGGGTTCGATAATCTGGAATTGCATGTCAACGCTTTGGCAGTTCTCGTCCAAACGTCCATATTCTCTGCATACCCATAGCTCGCAGTGTCTTGATGTCGGCCTTAAGTTTCCCCCATTTCTTATCTTCGCTGAAGGTGCCTGCGCCTCCCTGGTTTGGCAAGGGCTGGATCGTCGCATGGATGACTTGGCCGTATTTTTCGAACGCGTTTGCAACTCCTTCTCTGTCGGGCTTCAGGGACTTGGGCTTGTGCAGCGTAGGCTTTGGCTTTGCCCTGCTGGCGAGCTTCTCACCAACATCGGTTGAGCTTGTCAAACTTGGATGGCGCGAACCATTGCTCCCGTCCGACTCATTGCTCTTCCCTCCGTTCTGGTCGGTGCTAGACATCGTGACTCGCGACACACCAACGTTGTCCGAAGCAGGCCGTGCAAGGAAACACAGATGAGCCGCGTCGGCAGATGGGGAAAGTCAACACAGCATGTATAAGAGGAGGGAGAGGGAACCGACAAATCCACCACGCGATCATGAGCATTCATAGCTCTTGTGGGGCCAGAAATACATCTCGCTAGGTCCCTTGGGCGAATCGTTGATTAATCCCACACCCCAACACTCAGGTAAGTCACGGATACCTACGATAATTACACACCACATCGGCGGCTGCCCTGGGTAGATGTGGGCCAATGCCGTGAGGTTTTCTTCCCAGCAAGGATTGGTAGACCTTGGCTGCACGCACAGTGGGGTTGTCTCACTCAAAGGTCCCTATCAGGGGGAAGCTCGAGGTAACGGCGGCAAGTATTGGCCATCGTGTCTCCGACTCTCCGTCCTGGGAAGCTGATCTGGTTTACCGTATTGTCCTGTATGTACGTATCCGTACATAATCTGCGCTTTGCAACAGGGTTGTCTTTGACGCAAGGGTACTAAGAGATGATGAGTTGCTGATTCGTAGTACTACAAGTGTGTAAGTCGTGTAATGCTCTGTCGAAGTGTAGTTAATATGTTCTCTTTGTTGACCCCCGGGACCTACACGTACCTGGGATGGTGAATTGTCCTGTACTTACATACTACTTCGTACATACGAAGGTACTGGTGGAAAGCTAGGCCCGTCTCCCGGGGCAGCCTACAGGAGCAGCATGTCGTGATCGACCCCAGGCCAATCATGACAAGCGGGATGTGCAGAAATGCTTCGTCGATCAGTGGGGACGAAGAGTAAGTGGCTGGGCAATCAGCTCTTCTCGGCGCCGAGCCTCGGACCGGGTCTCCACATTCTCTCCCGAAAGCTTTAGTTCCGTCGATCTGAGGCTGAAACAAGACCAATCATGTAGCGGCGCGGAGACCCTAGGTCCCGCTGGTGCCGCTGTGCGATTCCCCTTCCGTCTCCCTTGCAGACCGCATGCCAGCTGAAGCCCAAGCCATTAGATTTTGAGGCCCTCCGATAGGCTTCGGCTGTGATACCCACAGGCAGTGGTCGGCGACTTGGCTCGTCGCCTATGGAATATGGACGAGCTTGATCATCTCGATCATTGTTGTGGATCAGGTTTTCTGCGGATGATGGATATTCCAGGAATCCAGGTGTTTGTAATTACAACTCGGAAGGAAATACGTCCGTACAGTGTTGCACTGCTCCCGTATCCGTCTTCAGACGGTGCTCGAGGGACTGGAGTGGGGGCTCCTGTTGATGACGGAAGGTCGCAGGCCGGTGCAGGAGGAGAACCCTGTTATGGGCTGTCGTTCCGAGGGAGATAAAGCGAATCGCTTGTTGTGAGATCAGGTCAGACGCACTGATAGGTCGCCAGTCTCCCACAGACGTTGAGGAAACGCCTTCGGACAGTCCTATTGATGGCACCCAGCTCCTTCAGTCCCCAACCGCAAATCCCGTTTGCTGAGAAGCACACTATAAGGTAGTAGGCCATGGATAAATCTCATCTAACAGCCAGTGGGCATGAGAACCACCACGGGCGGTCGAGCCCAGCGGGTGAAGCCCAACCTGAAGCTGAAGGACACGAAGAGTTTCTCTCTACTCACCTGCCGTCCCGCCCTGTCACGCCAATGGGTCCGGAAAGAGATACGCGGGCATCTCATCGCAAGCCTCGCAAGATTGTGTTGTGTTTTGACGGGACAGGAAACAAATTCCATGGCGATGACAGCGACAGCAACATCCTGAAGATATTTCGAATGCTGAACAGGACTGCAAGCGATCAGTGTAAGCCCCTGAGCTGTGGTGTAAAACATGAAAGTTTTGACAAGCGCTGACTGTGTGAATCAGATCACTACTATCAACGTATGCTCTGCCTTCCCAGCGTCCATGTAGATGGTAAGCTGACCAGGCAAAGCTGGAATCGGCACCTATGTTGTGTCCAACAGCCTAAGCCACACGAGCACCGTGGCCAGGATCAAGTCATGGTACATGAAGGCCAAGGACTCGGCGGTAGGCTCATCGTTTGATCAACATGTTGTCGGGGGCTATCGCTTTCTGATGCGTTTCTACAACCCGGGCGACGAAATCTACATCTTTGGATTTTCCCGTGGCGCGTACATTGCTCGGTTTCTCGCAGAAATGCTTGACTATGTCGGACTGTTGTCGCACGGCAATGAAGAGATGGTCTCGTTTGCCTGGAAGGCCTTCTCAAACTGGCAGAGCCGCCAGGGCAGCACAACCCCTGAAGGAATAAAGAAAAAGAAAGAAATGTATGCCTTCTTGAAGGGGTTTCGAGAGACCTTTTCACGCCCGGTTCGGCGGATCCGATTCCTTGGCCTCTTCGACACAGTCAACAGCGTGCCTCGCTTCGAGACGGCATGGATGGAGCGAAGCAAGTTCCCCTATACGGCGCGCACCTCGGCAAAGGTCATCCGCCACGCCGTCAGCATCGACGAGCGCCGCGCCAAGTTCCGCCAGGACCTCATCTACCAGAGCGATCGTGGCAAGAAGGATAAGCAGCACAAGTCGGTTCATGAGATGCTGCACGAGGCGCACGAGAAGTATCGCAGGAAACCACACGGTGCGCCACCGATCAACGGTGCCGTCGACAACACCAGACTGAGCAGAGAACACCCGGACGTAGACCGTGGTCGGCGGGGAAGATTGGAGGTGCCGGACGACACCGAACCGTACCGTACCCGCTCGCACTCGACCCGGTCTCGCAAGACGCACGCGACCGACGACCACGACCACGACCACGGCGACGCAAAATCCGACGTTGCCCCTCATCCGCACGACGACGATCTGGACTCGCTGCCGGAATCCGAGGACGAGACCAAGCAGGACATTGACGAGGTCTGGTTTGCGGGCGGTCACGCCGACATTGGCGGCGGATGGGAGATGCTTTCCGACTCCAAAGCGGCGAGCCACGTGCCCCTGGTGTGGATGGTGCACGAGGCAATGAAGGCCGGGTTGCACTTTGATCTGGACAAGGTGCGCGAGATGGGCTGCATCGATGCCCTCGACTGTCAAGACACCATGGCCGCGGCGGCCAACGATTCGGAGAAGACTGCGGGTCCGGTTTCACGTGGTACATGTAGTTTCGAAGCGGCCGCGCGTCCTGCTAATGGTGCTGATCATCCTTCGATTCCCAACATCATGATCAGGACCCCGAGCGCGGGCACGCCGAAGCTGTTCCAGGGGTCAAAGTTCAGCGACTCGCTTGACCCGAATGAGGGAGCTACCACGTCTCACAATAGCCAGAGTGGAGGAGACCAGCATCGCCCCCTCTCCTTTAAGGAAATGATGCACAAGGCCCATTGCGCTCGCATTCACGACTCGCTCGAGTTTGACTGCGGCTTAAGCTGGGGTTCGGTGATGGCCTGGAAGATAATGGAGTGAGTGGTTTCACAACAGAGTTGGAACACCTTGGCAAGTATCGCCTGCTGATCACAACTGCTAGATACCTCCCCTTCCGGCGCATGGATCTGCAGGAGGACGGCTCATGGAAGCCCATCCGCTGGCCGCTCCCTTGCGGCGAGGTGCGGGACATACCAGAAAACGCGCGTGTCCACGGCAGCGTAATTCGGCGGATGCAGTCTGACGAGAACTACAGGCCGGGCAACTTGATCATTGGGGGCGGTGGGAGAGGAGTCCGTCGCGCTCCCAAAGAACATGGCATTGGCGAATGGATCTGTGTGGCCAGAGAGGGATGTCCAATCGGTGAAATCTGGATGAAGAAAAGCGCCCTCGAAAAGGCACAGAACGGCCACGCGAAGGGTGCAAAGGAGAAGCAGTGACTAAGGTACCTACCTAGGTACCTAGGTAGGCAGCTTGCCGGTCGCGCTTGCCGCTGCCCTGTCACGGCGAAGGCAGAGCAGGTGGATTCAGGGACGGAAAAGGTGAGGAAGGAAGTAACGGGTTAGGCTCCCGTGCGACAATAAACTATATGCCGTAGAAGAGAGCGTTAGAAGAGACGAAGAGCGGTAATGCCAGGGCTTTGTGGAGGGCCCGGTCCAAGTTCTGATGATCATCCTCATAATATATTCTGCAAATTTTTAAAGGAGATGAGCTTACTCCGTATGTATACAAAGATCAGTGTACTTAGTCTCGATCATGCAGCAACGACTCTAAGGCTGTTGGAAGATAATTTGTACATAGGTACCTTATTTTACAACATACTTCGGCACATATTCAGATGGAACCTTGCTCCTACCTGCCGCAACTACTGTAGGGACTCTAAGGTCGTCATCGTACTGGCTTGTTGATTTCTGCCTACCTACGAATCTGACGCAAACTGGTACTTGGCACGTACTAGCATTCTACAGCCTAGTACAGTTGACTGAGCTGTTGCCACGTAGCCAGAAATGTCTTGCTTGGACATACTGGAAACGTAAATGAGAGCTCATCCGCTGTCACACAACTCAAATCCCACATTAGAATAGGTAACCGGATACTACATGGATGATGGATCAGTCTGCTAATTGAGAGAGTTGACGTTCTCTATGCTATCTGCCAGTTCCTTTGCTCGACAGGCGTATGTTTTTCAGATTTAAGGATTGAGGATGTGTTGTCAATCTATAATCGTCAGAGAATAAGTAGGGCAGAATCAAGGGGGGATGGAAAGTTACTGAGTGTAAGGTTTAGCACACGCCTACATTTGGCCACCGGGGATATGCCTAGGTAGCTTGTGGAGCGACTCTGACCCTACAACTGATGGTGGAAATTGGTCCACTGCTGTTCCCGGACATTACTTAGTATCAGCATAGCTTCCAGTCAGTCAGCAAACTCCCGTAGTGCGCATACGTACACAAGATCGGTAAGCCGCATACAACTCGAAGTCTAACTTCCAGCTGTACGCCGTACCAACCGATGAATCCTTGCCCTTTGCCCCTTGCCCTGGTTACTGGGCCTGGCTATACTATGACCTGGCTTTGGACAATCATGAAGACGCCCCTTGCATTTGTCTATCTCCGAGGAGGTCGTTCAATTTCAAGAGCGTGCTTATCTGTGTCTTATCTGCAAGGACATATCCAGGTGACCCTCAAGACCTTGTATCGATGTCTTATCAGGAGGCACTGCCTCTTTTCCGACGGGAGAAACCCCTACACTGTCATATGCTCCGGATTTTAGCTAGGACCCGTTTGAAGGGCGAGGAGAGCCATGCTGTGCAAGCTGAGAGTATTGCCTAGGCATCGTCCGACAGGCAGAGAAGGCGTTCCAGAGGTCGGTTTGATGACATTGCAGACAAGCAAGCTAGATGGTTTCAAGCATATACATGAATATTAAGAAATTATAGCAATGTATGTGGTATGTAACAATTACTGGTTGTACCAGAGATCGCACGACAAAGAAAGGGGTATACAGCAGTTTCAAGCGGCTTTGAGCGAAAGAACTGGAAGCGTCGATCTGAGAGCTGGACATCAACAGAACTACTACTAAGTGCACAGCCGCTAGAGCGTTCTTCCAGGACCGGCGTAAACATGACCCAAAATGTGCATTCATGTACCTGTATGGGACGAAACCCCACAGCGCCAGGTCCCGTCACTTCATGCAAACATCATGAATCCCAGGCCCCTGCGTGGCTCTCTCCGTGCAGTCCTCAGCGCACTCCCAGCAACTCATATCGCTCTATTGCAAAAAGGAAAAGAAAGAACTGAGAAGGAAAAGAGATCGAAAGCCTATGAAAGGCGGCACTAAAACTCGCTCAATCCCAACCTGGCGGCTTCTGCCAGTTCGAAGGCGTTGCTGGCATCGATGGTGTCCCCGGCTTTGAGGGTGTCATCGGTCTGGAAGGTGTCATAGGTCGATAGCGGGCTGCCAAATCAGGGGGGTTCCCGTGCGAGGTAGGAGGGGGTGAGGTCTTAATGCTCGGAGGGCCGGACGGGGGCATTGGCCAGGAAAGGAGCGAGGGCGAGAATATGCCGCTGCTGGCGATACTTACACCGCCAACAGAGTCCTGACTGGAACGCCTCGGAACTGTCGGGGATGGAGACCTCGGGAATCCCGGCGATAGCGGTGAAATATCTATCAGGTATGGGCTGATTGGCGTCGAGGACCGATTGTTGGCGAGAGCGGTGTTGAGCGCTGGGGGGCCATCTGGACGTTCCGGGGGGGCCACAGTCGCGGTTGGATGGGTCACGGGCGGTGGGAGGGTGGTGCCGTAGTCCATGGTCTGTCGCTTCTCGGCCATCAATGCATCCCCCAACTCGCCATCAGTGAACAAAAGGCTGGCGCCCATGGAAGATCTCCTCTTGTCTGATTTCGTATAAGGCGAGATTTTGAAGGGAGTGAACTTGATCAGGAAGGCTTGTACGCGGCGAGTACGCCGGTACCTGTAAATGAGCGCGATAAGAATCAAGAGAATGACAAGGGCGCCTGGCAAGTCAGTCAGCGACACGAAACGAACACGAATGACGAGAAGGCAAACGTACCAATGACGCCGCCAACGATCCCAGGGATGGAACTTGACTGTGAACCCTCGGCCGGGCCGCCAAGCCCATTCCCATTGCCCTGCCCACCAGCACCAGAGACGGTGCCGACGCCCCCGCCAGGAGAATCCGCCCCTCCGTCTCCCCGCAATCCCTCAAATCCATGGGAGTTGAAACGGTCGCCGCTGAACGAGGGAGTGTTCGTTGCTCCAGGTGAAATCCCGGAAGAAGGGGTGGCATTGGTTTCTGCTTGGATCAAGCCTAGGCCCGTACCACTGCCTGATGTGCCCGATCCTGATCCTGATCCTGCTGTCCCGGTAGATTGAGAATTTCCGGCGCCACCAGCCGAACCATTGCCGTTTCCGGCTCCATTTCCACTGCCACTAGCCCCCGAGGTACTACCAGTACCCTGTGATCCGCTCGTCGATGACGTAGAACCAGCGTTTCCGCCGGTGCCGGACCCTGATGAACCTGAGGATCCCGAGCCGGAACTAGATCCAGAGCCCGAACCAGAGCCTGAGCCTGAGCCCGAGCCCGAGCCCGAGCTTGAGCCGGAACCGGAGCCGGAGCCAGAGGCTGACTGGCCGGAATTGGCGGTGGCGGTGCCCGTACCAGAGCTACCAGGAGAGGATACCGATCCAGAACTGCCACTAGATGATCCCGAACCCGATCCTGCGCCTGACCCTGACCCCGATCCCGATCCCGATCCCGAACCCGATCCTGATCCGGAGCCCGATCCAGATCCCGAGCCTGTTCCAGATCCAGAACCTGTGTTGGTATTAGATGAACCAGAGCCCGAGGAGCCTGTGCTGGGAGGCGTGTTTTCTGACGGCGGATTCGGGACTGGCGAACTTGAAGCCGGCGGAGGTTGTTGCTGCGCTGGCGGATTGTTAGGGGTCGGAGAAGGAGCGGGCGGAGTCGGGGCCGGTGCCGGTGCTGGAGTGGTTGGGGCGGGAGCCGGAGTAGGACTTGGGCTTGAACAACCCGGTGCCCCAGGAAGGGCGTCGCACACTGGACTGAGAAGTGTATCGACGACCTGGGTAAGCAGCCGTTTCCCGAGGGCTTTCTCCTCTGGGGCACTCTGCCCGAGGGACCGTCTAAACGGAAGACGCATTCTCAGACTTCCAATGGCGGTTGAGTGAATGATGGTCAGGGCCGCATGACGGTCGGGCTTCGGCAGATGGAATTGAGTGACGAGTGATAATTATAGAGTGCTATTGTCTTGTTGACGGATCCTGAAGAATTCCAGAGCCGAACGAGTGAAGACTCTGGATAGACGGCCGTCGATCAGTTGCACGAGCGATTGTAAAGGAAGAAGAGCGAGCGGCAGCTGTCGAAGGACAGCACAAGAGGTCCCCGGCACAAGACATGGGTCAATGAAGGACCGCTGTCACGGCTAAACCCGACATGATAGGGAAACGGCTGATGTTCTCCTGATGCCATGTTGGTGCAGGTGCTGAAGGAGCCGTGCAAAGAAGAAACGTGGGCAGCCCAAGGGGCCGGTTCCGCTCTCTCCACTGTGTTCATCGCCAAAGGCCCTGTTCCGGGAAATGATTGTCGTTTCGTTCCTGGTGCCATTCCCATTTGGGGTTAGCCACAAGGGTTCAACCTTTGGTCCAGTGGGTGACGGGAAAGCAGGCTGTGCAGGAAACGCGCCAGGGGCTACGGACTACCGGGCGCTACCGGCAATTTTTACACTAGCTCGGGGCTAGGCAGATTGTTGGAAAGGCAGAATTCATCGTGCCGTTGATCTTCTTTGCAGTTGCTTATTGAAAGATTTGCCATCGTGAAATGCCGAAGTCGACGTTGTGCGGTGTCGATCAACGATATCGTAGCCTACCCTCGGCTAGGAAGAATTCATGTTCAAGTTCGTGTCGCAACGCCGACTTTGCAGCAACGGTGGTTCGGTGGTACGGTGATTGGTTCGGTCTTGCTGTTTTCAGTAGCAAAAGTGTCGATCACTCCTCCCCACTCCCAACCCAATCCCCCACGACCCATGGCTGTTATTTCCCGCCCAATCTAGGACCCCACCCAGCTAACGTTGACCCAGGATCCAGGCAGGACGTGCACACACTGTAATAAAACAACAATGGAAACCACTGCGCTGCCAACTTGCGGTGTGGAGATAGTCTATCGCTTCATTCGTGGTTGTCTCTCAGGTCGGACTCTGGACTTTTGAGTATCCTTGTATGATGTACGGTACATACAGGTACCGTATGTGTGAATTGTACGGACAAGGATCCATGATGGTCGCGTCAACTGAGGTGACCAGAACGCGTTTTGGGTCAATGTCATCAGATCTCATCGATCTCATTGATCACGACTCTCTCCGCTCCGCATCTTCAAGTACAGTTGTACAGTACTCTAACAACAGGCCCAAATCGATGAGCTATTTACTACAACAGAGAGTATGTACACGTGTATGAGCCCCTACCGAGTCCGTATCGAAGGCGGTACCTTACGTTTTAGCGCAATCTTGCATGAACTTCCCCTGTCCGTCGACTTTGGGCTCATCAAGAATTCAAGATTGCAGGGGAGTGCCAAGCAACGATGCACGCCTCCTGCCTCCTGAGTCAATGTTGAACTCCACAACCATCTGGAGAATGAGGGGTTGAACATCGACCTATGCTGCTTTGTCCACCGAACACCCAAACTGATGAAAGTGCAGCCAATCGTCACCAGCCCTACATACTGGACGTCGTCCACGTGCTTCAAACTGGCCATTGACGAATCTTTTGCTTTGGATCCCAGGTCGAGCTCTCGTGCTTTGTCTTGCTCCACGTTCGTCGTCAGAGTCTCCGAGCGGCGATGTGCCTGCAAGGACTCGGAGTCTCAAACACCTTGGAGCAATCGAAACCTGGAAGTCATTTTGACAGCCTGAGAGCCACAAAACACGATCTGGACCTCTGCAATACACTATACCATCGTAGGTTATATCTAGGGCATTGGCAATTCTTCCCTATTCATTCAAGCCTTGTTTTCAGATTGGCGACTCGGATGTCATGTGGCACAAAATGGAGAACACCCCATCATCTACAATCTGCCTCGCTGAACTGCTCCTCAAGACGGGCATACCGGTATCAGCCTTCAATGTTCTGATTCCTTTGCTCTGGCTGCAGAGCAGGCTTTCATCCATCCAATTCCTGGTCGCCGGCTCACTCTTGGTACTTGCGGCCTTTCTCGCGGACTCTTCGCCCCGTAGCATGGATACCGACCGTGGTGCACGACGCCAACTCGACCCCAGCGAGCCGAGGCGGGGAGTGGTTGGTTGTGGAAGCACCAACTTGGAAAACTAATTACCTTACCTAGACCTCGAGTGCCGAGGGTAAGGTAGGCAGGAGGGCTTTTCGCCAAAACTATCACGGTCTGGAACTTGTACAACATTCACTGACAGCCCGGGCAGGTACGGGCTCGCTCTCATGCACGATACTACGATAGAGATACCACATATCGAAATAACCTTAAACAAATGTCTCCACACCTCCAGTCTTCATCCGGCAACCCGGTAGTGCAAGAGGCCGTCATCCCAAGCTCCCAATTTGAACTTGAAACCGACCTACGTTGACGGACCGAATATTGACACTAGAATACTACCTTACACTTGACCAGGTAATGTACTTACCTTGCCCCAGGTACGGAGTACTAACCAGCCTTACTCGCACTTATGCTTAAACGGCCCAAGCAGGAATTTCGTTGGCATCTGGCCGGGTGATCTGGATACGGACCGGGGATTGCAACTTCCAGTCAGCGACGGTCAACCGATTCCCAGCGCGAAATCCAAATCCGGTCACGCAAAACCTAAGCTTTCCTTGACCCCTGAGTTCCGATGGGGTATGGACAACCTACCATGACTATTATGGATAAACCTCGTTGGAGACCAACATGTGATGGTCGAAGTGGAATCCGACATCGCAGGGAACCGTTCCCTTAAGTTAGCGTTGGACTCCACCAACCCCAGAAAGGACGAACCCCTCATTTGGGCGCACAGGAAAATCGGGCTGAATGTGCTATGTAGGTATATACCGGTACCTCGATGCACGCGGCCTCCCTACCCCAAGGAGCTCAGGGGCGTGGGACTCGGATCTGACGTAGAATAATAGCTAGATGCCCTCTGCCGTCTCGAGCCTCTCTCCATCAAGTCGTTCAACCAGACTTGGAAAGCACTGCTATCAACAGCAACAAGGGCCCCCGAGCGTCACTACCACTGGTGATGGTGCCCTTACCTCCTCTCAATGGTCACTATAAAGTCATGAGCATCCCAGACTCCGGTATTCACCAGCTTCGGCGGCCGGAAAGGGTCCACGAGTGAGAAGTTGTACCGCCGCATCAACTGCAAGCACTGGATTAGTACTCCTGCATCATCTACACCATCACGACAGGGCACTGCACCGGGCAAGGACTGAAACAGACTCACCTCCGGAAAGACCTTATTAATCTCCACCATAGCAATCATCCTCCCAACACAAACAAACTGCCCCGCTCCCCAAACAAGCTCAACCCTTCGCAGCATAGCAGCAAGCCTATCCTCACCAGGCCCATCCCCTCCCTGTTCCACCGCGAGCCATCGCTCAGGGCGAAAAACATCCCCGTCTGCTCCCCAAAAGCCATTGTCACGGTTCAGGCCGTAGACAGCGCACCCCACGGCGACCCAGGTCCCGCCGGGGAGGTCGTAGCCGCACAGCGTGTCGCCCCGCGGCGCGGGAACCTGCTTGAAAAACGGCGGGAGCGCCCCGGGCGGGAACAGCCGCAGTCCCTCGCGGATGACGGCCTGCAGGTAGGGCAGCGCGCGGGCCTCGCTTTCTCGAATGAGGGGCCGCGAGAGCCGGTTCGCGGCCGTCGCGCCGTCGAGCTCGGCCTGCAGGCGCTGGTACACGCGCGGGTGGGTCATGAGTAGGAGGAGGGTGGTGCGGATGACTGAGGCGACGGTGTCGCTGCCCGCGAAGCTTTATGTAGGTACGCGGTTGGTTAGTTGACAGTAGTTATCAGGTTAGAGAAGGAAGCAGCGGACGTACAACTGGATGCCGACTTCTTCGCTCAAGGCCTTGCCTCGTAGGCCGTGAGCGATGAAGGATTGCAGCATGTCATGCTTCGGGGATGCGTTCGGGCGGAGGCGCTCGCCGATAAGCTTGTTTACATGGCTGAGGGAGAGGTTAGCAGCGCGGTCACGGTTTAGATATGTATGTCCACAGTCGTAGTCTTCAAGCTGGAGGGGTCATAGGCGTTTTGGGGGTTTAGAAAAGGCTTATCTCACCCTAGGACAGCGCCAAACCCGCTCTTGTCGCCGTCACGCGGCAGGAGGTAGTACAATGGCCACCTTTGCATCATCTTCCACAGAAAGACATAGTTGTTGAAGAGCATCATCATGGGAACGCTGGCGTTGTTCGTAGCGATGATGTTGTGGACGTCTTCGTCCTTCTCCAGGTGCCCAAACGACTGGCCGTACGCAATCTCAGCGATGGCGTCCAAGGCGTAGAAATGGGCCGTTTTCCCCAGGTCCATAGGTTTGGACTTCCCGCCGTCGGAGATGTACTTCCTCTCGATCAGGTCGATCCATGCCTGGAGTGACTTGTCAACGCCCTCCTCGAAAGCATCGACCCCCCTGCCCGTGTACTAAGGGGACGGACCATTAGCAACCCATTCGGAGTACACCACAGGATGAAGTCTATTCTTACAGCTGGCATGATGTATTTTTTGCGCTCTCTGCGCTGTTCTGTCTCGATCATGGACATGATGTTGTCACTGTTGGGGGAGATACGGGCAATGTTATACCACTCGGCCTTTGTGTACCCGGACCGGACACCGTGAATGTGGTAGATGGCATCTGGATCGGCGCAAACGACTATGTTAGGTGCCACGCGAACCAGCGGCCCTGGACTGATGTTAACATCACGACATGAACTGAACTGGGAATATCTCAGCGTATGTGGTTGCACATATGAGAAACGCACCATACTTGGCCGTCAACCGTCGAACATCGAAAAAGAGCTCGCGCTTGAGCGAGCGTTTGGCCAACCAAAGAGACGTCCAACCGGAAATCATGGGTCCTGGGACATGGCTAAGGCGCCTCCATCTCAGAAGCCGACGCACAGCCGTGGCGAGAAGGACCAGGCCAAGGAGCGACCATATCAGGGCAGCCGATGGCATGTGAAAGTCTATAACCCCCAGAATAGGGGCACGGGTACCTAGAAAATCCATATTGATCTTGCTCTTGACCAGAAACGAAGTGCTTTCCGGGACTTCTCTCGAGGACTACTGTACATATATGGCTGGTTGACACACAGAAGACTTTAAAAGCACTCACCATGAAAACAAGAGGGGTACAGCCATAAGTACCTACTCAAGCCGGGCGGGACTCGGAGGTTCCTTTACCTTAGTCTTAGTCGTGTGGCCATCGAAGCTTTTCAGTTTCGGACAAGAGATGCAGAGCAGGACATGGATTCTACTGGAATGTGGACATACATTAGTTACATACACTAGAGCCCAAATTAGACGTAGCACATGCAACGTCGCCCTTAGCCTTCAGTTGAGCCAATAGCTCGAAACTGGGATAAAGAGGTCCCGGGAGTGGATTCGAGGTGCCACATTGCGGAATCTCCGTAGACAAAGATGTAAAGCTTGTTAGATGGTACCTCCTTTCTCTCGGATATGGGGGGCTAAGGGGCCACAGATAAGAATTTCTAAATTGAGTCCTGAGCTGTGTCAGCATATACTCACCTCATGGCTGAGGCCGGTTCTTGCCCAAGTGTCTGGCGACTCGATGTCCTCAATCCAGGGGCGGAGACGTAGTAGCATGTATAATAAGTTGTATACCTAAGGTAAGGTACCATATGTAGATGGTGTAATAGGTACATGAAGGTATTCCTAAATTGTATTTCCAGCGGTGGAAGCCCCCCTCTTGGGCAGCAGGTCCGATACTGTAAAATGTAAACCATCACAACGAGATCATGTCTCTTTTACCATCCGGCTACCCCTTTTTCAATTTGCGGAATGTGGCGAACCACCATACCGGATTTTCTGCACACTGCCTGCATGGCCATCCCACGGTGGGTGCGGTACGGTTGTTCCCGCCGATTTAGGTGGTGTATGCGGGGGATGCTTCTTTGGAAGAAGGAGGAGAAAGTAACGCTGTGTGGGCCATGCATGATGCGGCCGATGCCGCCATAGGACTGCCGGGCTGCCACTGCCGCTCGTTGCCCGTTTGGGTAAAGAATCGGATGGGGCACTGGTAGAGACGATTCCGGTTCACGGGCTGAGTCTGCGTAACAGGAATGCATGTGGACATTCCAGTCATTGTAGTTCTACTAGTTCCCCTCAGCGACACCTCAAGTGCTCAACTCGAGGACCTCAGGCTTTCAGGTCTCGACAATCTCACTCCTACCTGCATTAACGCAGTGAGTATTGCCCTCTTGTAAAAGAGAACTACTAGCTCGGAAACAGTCTACACAGCCTACAATCAAGTTGAAAAGGATAAAGTTTTTATAAATGCACCCGGGCCTTCAGTGTTACACTGTGCCTGACCTGTGCTCGTGTCATGTAAGAGGTCAAGGAGCTGCTGCGTTCCTCGGGACAAGACTGTCGTGACTCCATGTCGTCTAGTCTCATCTAAGCATGCAGCAAAAGTGTAGCAGCCGCCCAAGGTTGTGCTGGCTCTGACGTGTACATGCATGTGTCGTCTGTAGTACAAGTCACATCAACCCCTGGCAGTCCGTTAGCGCCTGACCTCGAGACTGCCTCTACCGTCCTGCCTAAGGTACGTTACCTTACCTTTGTAGCGTTTGTCACCCAAGGATATCAATAGAAAGATTAGGAAGACTTGATGATATAGAAGAGAAGCATGCTGTCAATGAAAGAGTCGTCCTGATATTTCTAAAGGCTTTATTTCTGATTGTCTTAATGTATTGAAACTGGCCATCATAGCGGTTGGAACTACAACTGTACTTAAGTACTTGCTGCAGTGTACAACATCAAGTACGGGAAGAGAGTTGCAACTCGCAAGTGCTTCGTATATGGGGTAGCTAACAAACAAGGACTTCTGCTGAGTCTAACCAGGGCAGTAATCTGCACGCCGCAAGCTGCCTGACTTGGATATATACACATGAGTGCATTACCAAGCCGGATTGTCATGCATTTGTTTTTTTAGGAAGCTTAGTACGTAGGTACTTACAAGTCTGACACACTGTTACATCGAGCCGTATACTAGGTACATAACTACAGGTTCTAGGTACTAGGTAGTCCCCTACCCAGGTGTTGCTCACTCGGAATTGAAAGGCGTAGACTGAGGTGATGGATACTGTCGATTTATTGGCCTCGAACGGTACAAGTACTTGTACCTAAGTACCTAAGTAACATGAAGCGGAGGTAATATGACACCCTACTAGCAACTCCATGTCCTGACAAATTTGAAGTGACAACTTGGACCTCCAGTCACACCTTACTCCCTAGGTACCTATAACCTACCTAAGGTAAGTATCCGCAAGTCTCACCCTTGCACGACTCAATGATCGGTTTACATTGGTTAGGTACCTAGGTGCGCATACGATCTTTTTACATTTCCATGCCAGGAAGCTTGTTGAACCCTGCGATACACAGCGTCAGTCTCGCCAACATGCGTCCCGGTGCTATACCTATACATGTAGTAGGTACTGAGAGTGACTTACAGCCATCAACATCCTCCCTGACCTTCTTGGAGATCTGACACCTCCTGGCGCTCTCAATGGTCTGGGTCTTCTGGTTGCCGCAGTCGGCAGCAAAGCAGCCGTTGGGCACGTCCATGGCGCGCTGCAGAGCGTCGCCCTTCCAGCCAAAGACATAGTCGCCGTGCTGGCCGTAGCCCGTGGTATCGCCCGTGCTGAGGACAAAAGGCTGACCCGTCGCAGGCCACAGGGACCTGTCGTTGAACCCCGTCGTGTCCCAGACGATCTCGAGCATCAGCTGGGGGATCTTGACCGGGTGCGAGGCCGGGCAGTTGCCCGTCGAGAGGAAGTTGGACGGCCCGCTCGTCGGGTACGCCACGTGGTCCTTGTGGTTGGGGCTGTCGAGGTTCTTGCCGTCCCAACACGTCGGGTACAGCACGTTGGACCGGATGCCGCCTGGGCAAGGCTGTGGTGGGAAGCCCTCAAAGTCTCGCCGCGAGTCGCTGCACGGAGCGAGATCGTCGCCGCCAAAGTTGGGGCCGCTGAAACAGCGGAAGCAGCTCTGTGACTTGTACAGCGGCGTGCGGCGGTTGACATCGCCCACGAACATACGGAAGCCCTTGATTGGAAACAGTCAGCGTACTGCATGGTGGTCGCAGACGGGAAACGATGGGCCAGCTGAAGTGTTGGACTGGCCACAACACGTACGGGTTTGAAGGCCGTGACCTTCCCCTTTCCTGGGGAGATGTAGTAGACAGTCACGCCGCCTTGGGTCTGTGTCGTAAACCTGTCGTTGAACAGGAAGCGGTTGGCCATCTGCGGAACACGCTTGTAGCTTCCGTTTGGCGCCCTGAAGTACAGGTTTGCGGTCCAATAGTTGCTGAAGTCGTCCGCCGGACCACAAGTTGTGCATGTGGCAACCTGCGCGATGTCTGTGTTCGGCATGGTGGCATTGAACGCGTTCCCTCCCACAACCTGATGCATATGGGGGCTTGGAAGCCTCCCCGGGTCGACGAGGGGGTCGAGGCGTTCGATGGTGATTTGCGCGCACCCGAACCGTAGATGGTTCAGCCCGTTCATGAACTGGGCATCGGCGAGCGCCGCGAAGAGCAGGGTGGACAACAACATGGCAGGCCACTGGAAAGGAGAAGGCTTGCTGGTTGCAGTACCTAAGATGACTGAAATGCTCAAACTTTCAACAAAGGACTTCTGCTTGTGGGAAGAGACAAACCATTCAGGAGGGTAGGTAGAAAGCGGCCTTGCTTAAGTCTTGAACCAGGTCAGTGAGGGTTGGCAGTAAAACAAGGCCAGGGTGCCGCCAGAGGAACCTTCCCTGAACTGCCATTCCACACCTCTTTATGAAGAGATACAAAGCACAATTTGTGTCTGCTTAATCATCGACATGGCCAGTGTACCGCTGACGGGACGACACCGTCAAGGTGCCGAGAATAGATCCTATCAAGTCATAGGGGAAGTATTGGGCAGAGCTCCCAAGACCACGGCAACCTCCCCATTGGGCGGCCGTTGATCGGCAGAAGTGAACAATATCGTGGGGGGTATCCAATCGGCAAAACTCCATGCCAGATCTGAAGTTCACATTGGCGGCTTCTAATCGGCTGAGGTGGAGGAAGATGGCACTCAATATCGGGCTTATCCAATCGGCAGAACTCCATTTCTGAGGGGGCCCGGGCAAGTTCAAATCACTTGCTGGACAACCATGTAAACTATCAGGCCTGAGTTGGCTCAAAAGGCGAGTCGGTTTTCTCCAGTTCTGAACCTGCTGCCTGTGAGCCTATGGACGTAACCGACTTGTACTGAATGCGTGTTCTAGGGGCAAAAATGGTAGTGTGCCCTAGTTGACATGTAAGCATTTACTGCTATATAGGCTGAGGTTACTTAACTTGTGCTTGCCTGAGTTTTAGCATCAAATCAAGTTGTCGTTGATGCTCACCTCGATTCAGCCACGGTAATATCCAAGTTGGATGCCGATGTGCTCAAAGGGAAATGACATGAGCTACCTAGCAACCATGATGCTAGGGACTCACTTCTCCTCAGCAGGTGCTCCTGGTGTGCTTGGGCTGGCCGCTCCTGCTGTTAACCGTTCACTGCTTCCTCCTAAGAAGAGGCTGTTGTTTCGGGTCACTGCAGTGAGCCTTTGAGCCTCCCGCTTAGAGTTCCTTTGTCCCACAACATGCCTTTCACTGGCAGGGAGAAACACTCTCACCGCCTAGCTAGGACTTAGCTAGATATGTAGGCACATCCTCTTGAGCCATACCTTACGCTCATCCATCCTCTTCTTCCCTCATATTTCGCAATTGAGCTGGGTTTCCCAGGAGCTCAACGGCTTATACACGATTTCGGACAACTATATATAGGATTAATGCATCAACGGTTTAAACACGACTACTACGTGTACTGCAACTGGCGTCAAGGGTGCACCGCCATCACAAGCCTACCTAAATACCCTACCAAGACCGTTCACGGTAGTATCTATATGTAAGTAATTTTCTGTTCCGAATACTTACCGCCGAATTCTCTTTGACCGATGCCCCTGATCTAGACATCAGTACCTACCTTCGAGTCGTATCAGACTAGACGTCTGGTCACTGTCAGCATGTCAGCCACCTACCTTGGGTACTTACCTAGCTTCCTCCACAAAATCCTCCGCTTTCCAGCCGAACCAATTGGCCATCCTCCGCCCAAAGGCGCGCAGCAGCACGGGGAAGAGCGTGGCGTCTGGGTGAGGCCTGTGGAAGCTGATACAGCCTTTGCCGTCCGGGGCGCGGAAGGTGATGGCCGAGCCTGGGCCTTCGTACGCGGTAAACCCGGCGTCTTCCATTGCCGTCACAAACTTGGGCCACCTGTGCTTGGCCTGGGCCTCGGCTCTGGTCTGGGCGGCGCCGAGCATCTGCTGGATCAGTCGGTACGAGTCACTTGGTAGCACGACTCTACCGGTTGCGGACACGGGGATTTGCGTGTGCGCCGTTGGCACGGGCTTGGGGAGGGCTGCTCCTGTCGGTCGGGGAGTTGTGATGGTGGAAGGTGTGACGGCTTCTCCCGGGTGGCCTTGATGCTTGGCTGCCATCATCTCGTCCCACAGTGAATGGGTTTCGACGTTTTGCAGGGGACCCTGTGTTGATGCCGGCTTTGCTTCTTCCTGGGCGGATGGATTGAAGTCTCCCTGAACCGCAGGAGCAGGCCCCGCGGGGACCTCCGGGCCTTGGCTTCCGGAAGCCACAGGCCCAGCATCCATTCCGCTTCCATCAGACCCTCCCGCCCCCGAAAACAAGGTAGCCATGAGATGCTGCACAAGGGACCCTGACAGCTTGGACTTCCTGAGCATGCCCTGAAGTAGGCTTGACGTGGATACCCAGAGTCTCGATAAAGCGGCATCGGCGGTGGTTGAAATGTCAGCGATTCGCTTTAGGAAGCGTGAGGTTACCCGCTCTCTGGCTCCCGGATTGACGGCCAGGCACTTGTGGATGAAATCCAACTTCAGGCAAAGGGGCAAGGGCGCATCGCATCCCTCATCGTGGCCTAGCGTGCTTATGGCCGAGAGGAACGGATCTATGACCCTGAAATCGATGTGGTATTCAGGGTTTTGAACCTGGTCGTAGCCCAGGTTGCGCTCCTGTGTCACGCTGGAGTGCAGCTGGCTAAGCTGTATTACCTGGGACATCGCACAAGCTTGGCTAAGGAATGAGAATAGAACTTCACGTTCGCGCACATTCCTTTTTCCAGCTGTAACAGCAGTGGAGCAGTCCCCAAGCCTCTGAATTATGCTCAGAAGCTCACCACACAGGAGATTGTCCAGTAATGGCTGGACGAGGATATCCTGGGCTTTAAACGTCCACATCCCCTTGTCGTTCAGGAAGGGTCGTGCAAAGCTTTCACTGAATTCCACCGTCACAAGGTAGTTGACGTATTCTGCATTGCTCTGGATGAGTTTCAGTTCATCCGAGGAGGCATTATAACGCGCCAAGATGATTTCTCGCAGCTCCTCCAATGTCATGGGCTCCGGGTGTGTGAAGCCTGTCCTTGGGCGAGGTGCAACTCCCCTGTTCCGTACGCCGAAACTCGTGAACTTGTTTCGGACAAGGCTTTCCCAGATGGATGAGCTTTGATTGGTGGAAGTTGAGGGATTCGTGCTGGATACAAGGTCTGTCTGGGCGTGCTTTTCCGCTCGCTGCTGGATCTCAATGAGAAGGTCCTCTACTACCCCAACCAAGATCTTGAAGATCCGCTGAGCTGTGGTCAGGATGTAGATGGCCGCATCAAAGCCGAAACATTCATGTCTGTGCATCTGGGTCTTGTTCCAGCCCACTAGCCGGCCGAATCCGTTTTGAGTGAGTCGGACGGCCTGCCGGTTGAAGTGTCTTCCCAGCAGACCGTGTATTCTGGCCGTATCTGATAGTCTATAATCGAACATGACCCAATCGGCGGGATGGTAGGACACACGATAGTGTAAGAGGGCCAGCAGATCGAGCGGCGACTCGGAAAGGGCCTTAATGTCCAGCCAAGGTGCGAGCCAAGTGTCGAGATACTTTTTGGCAGTCGAGTTGACGGAGTTGTAGACCCTGTACCGCTGATCCGGCTCCACCCTGTCCGGCACCATGAGCCGGATGCCATGTTCTTCTGGATGCAGCGCAGACACTGACTTGAGGAGTCTCTCACGCTTCTCACGCGATCGCTTTTTCCACCGCGTTGCAATCTCACCGGCATGGTCGTCCAGTGCGCACTGTAGCTGAGCGCGGGTCTTCTTGATCTCCACGACAAGTTCCGCGATCAAGTCCTGCTTCCTCATCGGTCACTCTCCGCGACACCGGAAAGTACTGCCGACTGCATGTTTTGCAGTCTTGTGGGCAGTCGTAAGGGGTAGAAGGGGGCGATTCAGGGGTAATGCTCATCCCAAGTCTGCCCCAAGGTGGTGTCAAGCTTGGGTTAGACGTGTCTACCAATAGATGTATTCTATAACCCATTGTGGACAAGGCTAATGCCAGAAAACGGGCAGCGGTGGTGTCTATGTTGGCAACAAGTTCTTGATTTTCCATCGTGATGGATTTGACGGTCAGATCGAAAGTCTAGGTTTCGGGGATTTGTTAGTATTCAAAAACTCATGCAGCGAACACTAAGGGCTTTAATAGGGGCGACGTAGATTCGTAGCCGCTTGAGGATCCGAAGAGTTCCATTATGGATTGAGCGTACAACCCGAGTATGGTAGATGCAACCAGTATCTTGCTTCGATGCGCTACCTGTTCATGGCGAGCACCGTTTAGGATACAACACCATCCTATAATTAGCCTCAATGTCAATGACAAACTTTGAACATCGGGTGGGCTGTTTCCATTTACAGCCGGGAGATACCTGTTACTAGGTCCCCTCAAACATGAACAAGGCAAAAAGGGCTAGTTGACTAACCATCTTGGTGTCTGGAACTCGAGTCTGAGACCTTGAAAGCAAGTCAACAACCTGATGCAATTCGCTGAGTACAGGCAATAGCCTACCAACAGTTGATACCCACCTATCTGTCGGACTTCTAGTCCACATCCCTGCATGTCGTCAAAATCATCTTATCTTGCCGCTGAATCCGGTTGCAAGCCGAAGCAATGTGGGCTAGTTATTGCCCGGCTCCGGGAGCTTCAGACACATCAGAGATCACTGATAGATACCCAAGAGCTGGGATCGCCGCCACGTGGAACACCTGGACTTTGAGACAGAAAGGACGCGGCGAGACGTGGCTTAAGCAGTCGCTGGCCAACGTCCAACGCACTTAGGCGCTGTGGCCGTCGATCTGCTCCGCCAAGGGCGCCCGATTTTGCAGAGGTTAAAAGGAAAAGGAATTTTGTTAGTGGTCCAATATTCGCCGAATATTTCTCTGGATTTTCCGCGTGTCCCACGTGTCGGCGAGGCTGACGGACGGGCTGTGCTCGGGCCAGAGGGAATTTGGGAGCCTTGGGTTGGGACTTGCTTGGTGGTGGTAGGCTGCCCTCAGATCAGGTTAAGTTGAAAGCGGGGGCATTCATCTGACGTGTGAGGTTGATAGCGGGGCTAGGGAACCGGCTACAATTCAATGCCGGTTCGTTCGTTAGCGCAGAACTCCCGACAGCGGCCCTGGTTCCAAATTCAAAAAGATCTTTCTCAACACTGAAAAAAGCTAAATCAACGCAAGAAAATAGAGCATCTAGTAAAAGTCTAAACGGCTGTTTCATTCCAGTCCTACTTGTAGGGAAAAAGTGGTTGTTTTGGTGTTGAACTTCGAGTTTTTGCGTTGACCCTTGCCTTCAAGTCAGGCGCTACCGAACAAACCAGGGGGGCATTGTACAGTGGGGTTACGGGGAAACTGGGCTGAGTGGCTCAGTGGCAGTGGCATGCCGCTGTCGAACCTTGTGTAGACGGGAAAGTCGGAAACCGTCTGGCACAGTGCCCATTGTTGAAATTGCAACATCGCCAACAAATACTGCCCCGAATTCCTAACATATTTCTCTTAATTACTTCATTTCTACTCCCACAACAACCTCACCTCAATTCTTTGAACATTGCACTTCTTTTGAGCTCACTTGCAATCTCAGTGAATCTACGCCTGCAGCCCTATAGGGCGCCAACTGCATACATTTCGGACTGTATGTAGGTACCTACATACATCCACATACATACAGTGCCTTCACGAAAATAGCACCAAAAGGCCTCCGGTGGCCGGTTGCACGCATGGCCGAATCCCCGTTTCCGACACCCAAACGGAAGCGCAGCCAAATGTTCGGCGGCAGTATTCCAATAATAAACACCGCGGAACCATTCACCTTCGACCTCAACTCCACTGTTGACGATGGCAATTCCAGTCCACGATCCCGGGTTGCCCACCGATTCCAGGGTCTCGCCCTTGGTGGCGGAAGTGGGGTCAGTGGAGACGAGGGAATCTCGTTGTCGATGGACTCAAGCACGGCTAGCAGCGAGTCGGAAAACGGATCGCGAAAGAGGAGGAAGCTCCCAGATGTCGAGATGACCGACGCTGACAGCCAGTGTGCCGTCGATTGTCCGGCTGGCGAAGTTGAGGCGACCCAAACATCGCGATCCTTATCCCCGCAATCCGTCACAAAGGACGATATTCCTAGCAAGCGACAACATTCCAGGTCGCCCAAGTCGATCAGATTTGCCCTTGACACTGCCATCGTCGGGCGAGCCGAATTCCTAGCCAGCACATCCTCCGACACGGACCCCACCGGGAACACGAGCACAATAGCGGCTGAAGATAGCCCCTCCCCCTCACCAACCGCGTCCCGGCAAAAGTCCCCGGACCGCAACAAATCCCACCAACAGGCCCTTGCCGCCGTTGCGAGGAGGAGGGCTAGCACTCCTCCCCTCGCGCCGCGACCCAGACCCGGCCCGTCAGGCGAGAGAGAGACTGCGGCTATTTCGGACCCGTTGCGCGCATCCCTGACCTGGCACGACGACGAGATCACAATCTACGACCCAGACGACAGCGACGACGACGGCACGGGCATCAACGGCATCGGATTCAAGCCCACGCCCGCCATCGCGTACGCCCGCACGGTGCGCCGCAAGCAACAGCTGGCCGAGTACAGGAAGCGGGAGGAGCGCGAGGCACGGGCCAAGAGGAGTCAGCGTCGGAGAGGAAGCCCTACTTCTTCTCTGCCGGCCTTGGTGGACATGAAAGGGAAGGCTAAGGCTGAGAGAAGAAGGGTGAGGTTTCTCGAGAATGTCGCCGAGTTGATTGGGGTTTGAACTTCGCATTTTGCGCTGCTAGCGTTACGGCCGTTTCTTTTTCACGAAGCAACATTGCGTCATGGGTCTGGTTGGGGGTTTGGGTTTAATGATGCTCAGAGTTCAGGCGAACATATCCACACATCTGGATCTCCGGCGGCGTTCTGGGTAATTGGGCATTCCAGCAGGCGAGAAAGGGGCGCAAACGAGCGGAGGGGTCTTCATTTGTTTCGTATGTGGTTGGGGTTTGGCAGGATATCCTCGCCGAATATTGCGTCGATGTGACTTGCTTCACGGTTGCAGTGGTCTTCACCAGCTTTCCTTTGTCATCGCAGGACAGATTAGCAGGCTATAGCAGCTCCTCAGAAGCACAATTCCTTTCCAAGAATGCGGCCTTTCCATGCCAGGTACCCCCCTTGCTGATAGGAACAGCTCAACATGACATATCCCGCCGGCTAGCAGTCCAATTCAGCAACATTATACATCCGCACCAGTAGACAGCCAAGCACCCCGCTCACTCACTCACGCACCATAACCTCCACCAACTCCTACCCTTCCTCCTCCTCTCCTCCTCCTCCTTCTCTAACCTAGCCTTCTCCTCCTGTTCGCGAGCTGCCCTCCTTTCCGCCTCCTCCTTGGCCCTCTGCGCCTGCTGGTGCCGCCCGTACACCTCGACCACGCGCTTCACCTTCTCCCGCTCCTGCCGCCTCTGGAACTGGCAGTACTCGTACTGGCCGATGGCTGCCAGCGCCCCGGTGCCCACCGCCCAGTTCGCCGCCCGGGGGATCGGCAACCCCATTATCCACCGCACCGCTCCAATGGCGGCCCCGGACCCGATCCCCGTTAGCAAACCCGTGCGAGAGCATGGCGCTTGGTGGAAGGTTAGGAAATCGGAGGGCTTGATGGTTTGTACCGCTTCCGTTAGGCTCGGCTGGCGGGAGGAGGGTTGACTCCGCGGGGATTGTTGTTGTGGTTGCTGAGGGGCGCCAGGAGGTTGCTGCTGTTCCTGTTGCTGTGGGTGGTGCTGTGTCTGGAGCCATGTTTGTGCAACGCCCGTTTGAGATTCATCCCGTGTGGGAAGTGTGGTGACCATGGTTGCACTCGATGTGCTAGAGGTAGTGCTGAGCGAGAAGTTGTGTTGAGTGGAGGAATCGCGGAGGGATTGGCATGTCCCGTGTTGCGCCGGCCCGGGATGGGATTTGACAAGCCGTCAGGGCCAATTTCACCCTTGACTGATTGCTGTTAGCGAGAGTCTTGCAGTCAAGGCCGAAGGCAATTCACTCGATTGATGAATGAGCGTGTCGAAGCTCGGTTGAGATGCCAAAAGTTCTGCTTTCAAGTGAGCGCAGGGTTAGGGTCATGATGTAATGGGTTTACCGTAATTCCAATACAATGTGTTCGTAAACAGTTCCCCTCAAAACCCCTGTTCAGTGCCCCGCAGTGGCCGCGTCGCGCATCAAAGACGCGCTTAGACGCGTCTCCTAGTTCTGTAAAGTTTAATGGGATTGTGCCAACTCACAACTCAATTGAAGCAACCGATCAACCACTCACATCTTCGCACTGTTGAATGAATGTCACGCGTGGCAGAAGCCGATGTTTCCTCCCACAAGAAGACAGAACTTCACATACAACATTGGCTCTCTGCATCCTCCTTCTCATCCTTGCCGCGTCCGCTGAGTTGTTCGAGCTGCGATCTCTTACAACGACTGAGCAACAACAGCATTGGCTGAATTGATCGAGCAACGCCAGAGACTGGCTCCTCCTGGCAGCAATGCCAAACACCTCGCTTCGGAGGCCACAGAAGGGCTATCGCCGTGGTGGAAAAGTCGCCTACCATGGCATCCGAACACGGACCTTCGCTGCCTCGTCGAGCGCACGGGGCGAGGCGACTTCGATAGACGAAAAATGGGAGCGAACGGCCCTCGCCCACCAGATCGACGAGACCATGGGTTTTGGCCGCTACGACGCCGGCAAGAAGCGCGAAGGCTGGCTCGTCAACGTGCAGCCGACCTCAATTGACGACCCTCGAGTGCCCGGTGGCGGCGGCAGGTCCGCTCTCGACTGCTACTTCATTGAGGAGGACGGATCGACCTTCAAGGCGACACTCGAATACGAACCTTACTTCCTGGTCGCCTGTCGCAAGGGCCACGAAGGCGAGGTGGAAGAATGGTGCAAGAGAGTTCCTGGTGGCGGCGTGGTCAAGTCGATGAGGCGTGTGGAGAAGGAGGATCTGAAGATGCCCAACCACCTGCTCGGCTATCGGCGGACATTTCTCGAGCTGAGGTTCCACAATGTTCAAGATCTGCTGGCAGCAAGGAGAGACATCATGCCGATAGCCGAGAAGAATAAAAAGGGCATGGACGCCATGGATACATACGCCGAGGTCGCAACGTGAGTCTCTGAAGATTTGCCCTCGAAAGTGAGGCTTTGCTGATATGTGATGGAAGGGCCAACGGCAATCTTGATCTATTTGATGACGATTCACGAATTGATGAGCGACGACATAATGCATCCTTTGCGGAAGCGAGCGATTACATTGTTGACATCCGGGAATACGACGTCCCGTACCACGTTAGAGTTATGATAGATTTGGGTAGGTCCAATAAATCCTCCTGAACCCAAAGATCCAGCTGACCCCGGGGCAGATATTCGTGTTGGTAATTGGTATTTTGTTGAAGCCAAGAATGGGGCTACGACGGTCATACGCAACGCAGAGCGACTGGCGCCTGCCGATCCCGTTGTCATGGCGTTCGATATCGAGACGTGCAAAGCCCCGCTGAAGTTCCCCGATGCTGCCGTGGATCAGATCATGATGGTGTCGTACATGATAGATGGCCAGGGGTTCTTAATCACTAACCGCGAGATCGTCTCCGAAGACATTGCCGACTTTGACTACAATCCTAAACCGGAATACCCCGGCCCGTTTATGATCTTCAACGAGCCCGACGAGAAAGCCCTCCTCGAGCGTTTCTTTCTCCATATCAAGGAGGCCCGCCCTACTGTCATTGCCACCTACAACGGCGACTTTTTCGACTGGCCCTTTGTTGAGGCGCGTGCCAGTGTCAACGGCATCGACATGTACCACGAAATCGGGTGGAAAAAGGACACCGAGGACCAGTACAAGAGCAACTACAGCGTTCATATGGACTGCTTCCACTGGGTCAACCGTGACAGTTACCTTCCGCAGGGCAGTCGAGGTCTCAAGGCCGTGACCGTCGCCAAGCTCGGGTACGATCCCGATGAACTCGATCCTGAGCTCATGACGCCATACGCAAGTGAACGCCCGCAGACGCTTGCCGAATACTCGGTTTCCGATGCCGTTGCCACCTACTATCTGTACATGAAATACGTCCACCCGTTTATCTTTTCTCTGTGCACGATTCTGCCTCTGGGTCCTGACGACACATTGCGAAAAGGCACAGGCACCTTGTGCGAAATGCTCCTGATGGTGCAGGCCTACCAGAAGGACATTGTGTTGCCAAACAAACATGTCTCTCCAAGAGAGTCATTCTGGGAAGGGCACCTCCTGGATTCAGAGACCTACGTCGGTGGCCACGTCGAGAGTATCGAGGCGGGTGTGTTCCGGTCTGATATTCCGGTGAATTTTGCCATCGACCCCGGGGCCGTGAACGAGTTGCTACGCGACCTGGACGCAGCTTTGACCTTCAGCATCACCGTCGAAGAGAAGAAATCGATGGATGACGTTACTAACTACGACGAGGTCAAAAAGCAGATTACTGACAAACTGCTAAACCTCAGAGACACGCCCAACCGCAGCGAGCGCCCTCTGATCTATCATCTTGACGTTGCATCCATGTACCCCAACATCATGACAACGAACCGGCTTCAACCAGACTCGATGATCTCCGAATCCGACTGCGCGGCATGCGACTTCAACCGTCCAGGGAAGACGTGCGACAGGAGACTGCCCTGGGCCTGGAGAGGGGAGTACTTGCCCGCAAAACGTGACGAGTACAACATGATCAGACACGCCCTGGAGAATGAAAAGTTTCCGGGCAAGGGCGTCAACAGTGTGATGCGCTCATTTCAAGAGCTGAGTTTGGATGAGCAGGCCAGCATAACCAAGAAAAGACTCCAGCTCTATTCGCAGAAAGTCTACCACAAGATCCATGAATCGACCACCATCATCCGAGAAGCCATCATCTGCCAGCGCGAAAACCCCTTTTACATCAACACTGTGCGCGATTTCCGAGACAGGCGCTACGATTACAAGGGCAAAGCCAAGGTCTGGAAAGGCAAGACGGAAGCTCTGAAGAGCTCAGGTGCTCCCGCCTCGGAAATCGAGAACGCCAAGAAGATGATTGTGCTCTTCGACTCGCTGCAGCTAGCCCACAAAGTTATTCTGAACTCTTTTTACGGCTACGTCATGCGGAAGGGGTCACGGTGGTATTCCATGGAAATGGCTGGTGTGACTTGCCTCACGGGCGCGACAATCATCCAGCTTGCCAGATCACTAGTCGAGCGGCTTGGCCGTCCCCTTGAACTGGATACGGATGGTATTTGGTGCATGCTACCGGCGACATTCCCAGAGAACTTTGCCTTCAAGCTCAAAAACGGCAAGAAACTGGCCGTCTCATACCCCTGTGTCATGTTAAACCACCTGGTGCATGCCAAATTCACCAACCACCAGTACCAGACCTTGGTCGACCCCAAGACGTTCAAGTATGAAACGCACAGCGACAACTCCATCTTTTTCGAAGTTGACGGCCCCTACAAGGCCATGATCCTGCCAACATCAAAGGAGGAGGACAAGAACCTAAAGAAGAGGTATGCCGTCTTCAACGATGACGGTAGTCTCGCAGAATTGAAGGGGTTCGAAGTCAAGCGAAGAGGTGAACTTAAGCTCATCAAGATCTTTCAACAGCAGATTTTCAAATTCTTCTTGGAGGGCACGACTCTGGCCGAGTGCTATGGTGCTGTGGCCAACGTCGCCAACAAATGGCTGGACGTGCTGCACAACAAGGGTTCGACCCTCGCCGACGAGGAACTCATGGACCTCATTTCTGAGAACCGCAGCATGACCAAGACGCTCGAAGAGTACGGTGGTCAGAAGTCGACCTCTATCACCACTGCCAAGCGTCTGGCCGATTTCCTCGGCGAAGGGATGGTCAAAGACAAAGGTTTGAACTGCAAGTTCATCATCTGCTCCAGGCCCAAAAACGCCCCGGTCACCGAGAGGGCCGTTCCCGTCGCCATCTTCTCTGCAGAAGAGGAGACGAAACGCATGTACCTGAAGAAATGGCTGAAAGAGGAACCGGCGGACACAGATCCGAGAGCGCTTCTCGACTGGGACTACTACCTCGAGCGCCTGGGGTCGGTGATCCAGAAACTTATCACAATCCCCGCTGCACTGCAAAAGGTGCGCAACCCAGTGCCGCGTGTGCCGCATCCAGACTGGTTACAGCGGCGGATAAACATCAAAGACGACAAGATGAAGCAAAAGAAGCTTACGGACCTCTTCGGGGCAACAACGAAGGGTGGCCCGTTGGAGGAGATCATTCACAGCAACACCAGCACTCGGCTGGGTGATTTGGAGGACATCGGACAACTGCTGAAACCAAAAACCGTCAGCTCTGCTGTCTCCGCCTCTCAGAAAACGCCAGCAGCTCAGAAACGCAAGTCGCCGGATCCCGCGAACGAGAACCATGATCCCTTCGCTTCCCTCCCAAAGAAGATGCCGTCCCCAAGTGAAGACTATCCAGCTTTCTTGGAGTACCAGAAGCAGAAGTGGAAACTGCAGAAACAGGCACGAGCACGCCGGCGTCATCTCTTTGGTGATCGACGAGGAAACATTCAGAGCAATCTCCAGCAGACATTCCGGAACCAGGCCGAGATGACCTTCAGAAACACCTGGCAGGTGCTTCAGCTCAAAGCTACGGACAGCCCGGGAATCGTCCTTGCATATGTGCTCATCGACGCGAAGATCCACGCCGTCAAGATTAACGTACCACGCCAAGTCTTCCTCAACCTGAAAAGCCGAGATCTTCCCGACATTGAGATTGATGGCTGCCACGTGGAGCAGGTCAACCACACCCTTCCAAATGGACATTCATCAGTGCACTTGTTTAAGCTTACTGTGCCGGAGCAAGTATACTTTGCGGAGGCAGAGAAGTTCTCCTTGCTCTTCAACCATCCCAGCGTCGAAGGGGTGTATGAGAAGCAGGTTCCGCTCAATCTTCGAGCCATTCTACAGCTCGGTAACCGGTGCACGATCGACCAAACCCAGCCCGGCGTACTCGGCAGAGGACTTGACCACGGCTTTGACTTGGCCAGCCTTACCAAGCCCGCAAAGCCCGGGTCGTATCTTGAAGGAACTCGCATGGCCTACATCTACCTCTCTCATATCAGTGCCGGAGAGCGCCAAATCTTTGGGATCTTCTCAACCACAGGCGACCAGGCTCACATTATCATTCAGCAGAAGCACAAAGATGGTGGCCAGGATTTGCCAAACGTCTCTAAACTGTACTCGGATTTCTTTGCCCAAAGGAGCAAAGAGGAGCCCGCGGACTCTACCTGGCAGGAGTGCTTCCCATACCAAGAGAAGCTGAACTTCAAGATCACCCAGGTTACGACGCGCCGCAAGGCGTTCCTCGAGGTCGGAGACGTTGTCAAGAAAATGAGGAAAGAAGAATCTGGCCCGACCATGATGGTAATCCAGTCATCACAGCGCAATCTCCTTGTGCACGACATACCAATCTTGGGCGAATTTCCAGTTATGCCACTCCGGTACGACCAGGCCGACAGTTCTCTGCCACCCCTTTCGTGGCAGACCGTGGCTGCTCGACGATTGCTTAATCACTACCTGAGCTTGAGCTCATGGATCACCCACCTCACTGCCCTGGCCAGATATGGCGATGTCCCGCTGTGCAACCTGGAACGTGACGATCCTCGGTTTTTAATCGACGTGGCCTACGCTCGACGCTTGCAGGCCAACAATGTCGTTCTCTGGTGGTCGCCCAGTCCACGTCCCGACCACGCAGGGTACGAGAAGGATGATGTGATAGGTCCGCTCGACCAAGTCCAGATGCCGTCCGTTAACAACCCCGGCACCTACGCTTCTGTCTGCATCGAACTCGAGGTCCGGAACCTTGCGATCAATACCATCTTGACATCTTCCCTCATCAACGAGCTGGAAGGTGCGGATAGCATATCTTTCAACCCGGCAGCCGACGGGGCATCGGATGAGGACGAGGTCCTGTACTCGGAGAACGCATTTGCCAATGCCGGAGTACAAGTCCTTCGGGAAATGGTCAAGGCTTGGTGGGCTGAGGCTTGCAAGGGATCGACGATGGCCGACATCATGGTGCAACACCTCGTACGCTGGGTCGAGTCTCCTGCTTCATGTCTGTATGATCGGGCACTGCACTACTACGTGCAGATGATGAGCCGCAAAGCCCTCCTCCAACTCATGGCGGACTTCCGCCGCGTCGGATCACAGGTGATCTACGCCAGCGCTAACCGCCTGCTCCTGCAGACGACCAAGTCCGAAGTTGGAAACGCTTATGCCTATGCGCAGTACATCCTCAAGAGCATCAAGGGGAAGCCGCTCTTTCACTTCATCGATCTCGATATCAAAGAGTACTGGGACTACCTCGTATGGTACGACGAATTCAACTACGGTGGCAAAGCCTGTCAAGAAGTCGTCGACAGGGACGAGCAAGACCTCCAGCTGATCATGCACTGGCAAATGACAACGTTCCTCCCCATCCGGCTACAGCCAGTCTTCCGAGACTGGGTGGTTGAGTTCATCGAACTCATGCACGGCATCAAGCGGCCAGCAACAGGTAGCGATCCCACAGCAACACCTCGCCTGACCCAGCTCCCCATCCGGAACGGCAACGCCAGCCTGGCTGAAGATGCCCCAGGCCAAATCATCCTAGGCAAGGTTTATGAGAAGCCTTTAAAGAAGGAAATCGCCAACCTCATCAACACACAGAAGCGCGAACTCCTCCACCCGGAATTGGCAGGCGACTACACCTTCCCATCCTTGCCCGGCTCCCATCTCGCGCACCTGACTCCACATTCAGCCGACCACCGCAATGCCAACCGCAATCCCACCAGTGCCCGCGCGTCGGCCAACCCCGTCCTGGAACTGGTCAAATCCCTGATGCAAGTACTCTCCCTCGACAAGAATATCACGCTAGAAGCCCGCCTGTTGCGCAAGGAACTGCTCGCCCTGTTCGACGTGCGCGAGTTCAGCACCGAGGGCACCTTCCAGAACCCGTCCGAGAGCCTGCGCATCGCCCAGCTGAGCTGCGACAACTGCACCATGGTGCGGGACCTCGACCTCTGCCGCGACGAGGACCTCTTGCCCGCCAACAGCAATCATACCGCCGACAACACCACCACCACCGCCAACGGAGAGACTGGTGGTGGCGGCGCTGCCAATTCGGGGTGGAGCTGGAAATGCCTCTACTGCGAGGCCGAGTACGACCGGAACGAAGTCGAGGAGCGCCTGCTCGCGTCCGTCGAGGCGTTCGTGGCCGAGTGGGCCACCCAGGACCTCAAGTGCGCGCGCTGCGGCGCGCTGCGGGTCAATGAATTCATGGAGCACTGCACGTGTAGCGGGGAGTGGGTGGAGAGCGTCCAGAGGGGGGAGGTGGTGAGACGGTTGGGCGTGTACAGGAATGTGGCGAGGTTTTACGGGCTGAAGATGCTTGGTGATGTGGTGGAGGGGGTGTTTGAGCAGTTGTGAGCTCGCTAGTAGCGAGGATTATCAGGAGAGCACATCGGAGGAGGGCATGCCCATCCATGTATTCAGAAGAAGGGAGTAGGCTCGTCGGTCTGGGACAGGAATGGTCGGCGTTGTGGGAGTTTTGACGGATTTGGATCTATCATTGTCCTGCTAAACTAGTACTAAATCATGCACTTGATCCTTAAGGCTTTACTATCATCGCCTTGGATTTCACATCATGGTAACCTCAACAGCAACTATGGAAAATGGCAGAGAGTGAAGGACAAGCCTTCGCAAAGAGGCAACCCATATTATGTTGACCGTACTTGGTAACAAACACCAGTGTAATATCAGCGCAGCCTGCTCCTTTTTAATTGCCTTCCGTGAGCAAGTGATTATGAAAGGTGTAACAGTGTGCTGTGCATACATCTCCTATATGTGTTCCCTATTTTAGTTGGTTATAGGATAGGAAACATCCGAATTTCTTAGACCGACATTTGAAGCCTGAGGATACTCCTCGGCTGCCCACAAGTTGTCTCTCCAGTCCCCTCGTGCTTGTTTACGTAGCTTCGACCCGGCTCGGAATCAAGCTTTGGTAAACAGTGTCCTCTTCAATGAACCACACGCCATACCACTCCTTAAGAAGAATGGCGGGGTCGCAGTCTTTTTCATCCAAGCGCTTAAACCGAGGCATTTATATGCACCTCGGCGGCTCGCACTGCAATCCGACACTAGGCAGACCATCCCGCCGTCAGAGATGCTCTCGCGTTCAGTTAGAGAGAGGGTTCAATCGCTGGTAGTGCTGCTTCCACTACTGGCATTGCCGTTGACAGACTTGCGCCCCTGCTTATCGATGCTGGGGGCATACTCGGCCACTTCTAAAGGCTCGAGATGTGCCAGATAGGGCATTTTGCAGTATGCCTTGCCGCCACGATGCTTGCAGTTTAGCAGCTGGCAGATATGGCCGTGAGTGCAGGAGTCAAGTCTGCATGCACCACGACGAGTGCAGGGTTGGGACCTGGCGAGCGACTCGAGGGCCGGCAACAACTCCTCTTCGAGACGTCCATGATCGTATTCACAGCGATCGCCGGCGTCGCAGAAGCCGCTCAGATGGAAACTATTGCAGAGCCGCTTCTTGTCAATGCGGGCTTTTAGGCGAACAAGGGTGTCCGCTGCAACTGGAGGCAGGTAGGCATCCAGGCGGTAGTTGTTCCTATTGATCGGAATGGTGCCTTCGGGTACATCCTCCTTTCTAGGGAGTCGGTCCAGTAGAGAGAGTGAGGACTCTGATGGGCTGGTGGGTGTCGGCAGGCCCGAGAACAGGTGTGAACTGCTTTTTGCGCCAGGCTGTGAGTCGCAATGCAGATTCTTGCAACTCTTGCCGTACCGGCATTTACCAATGGAGTTGAACAGACAGATAGGCTTTTGTTGGTCGTTGGGTGAATTTTGTGCTGCGCCCCAGCTTTGCCTGACAGGCGACGGCACTCGTGCAATCACATCTGGAGCCCCAGACGGCAAACCTGAGACCAAAGGTTGCTTTGCAGGCGGGATCGCCTGCGTAGCAGACTTGGCATTGACGTTATGTGAAGTAAGGGGGCGGAATGGAAGCGAGCCTTCTAAGGGAGTACTCCGAAACACGCCACGGAACTCCTCGATGCCCATACCCAGCTTGGTGAACTCTTCATGGAAGTGAATGCCCGGCGAGTTAATAAGGGTGAATTTGGCGCTGTTCCCCATAAAGGGCGCCAGTTCCGAGATGTAGCCCACATCGTGGCAGGCAGCGAGGTAAACGTGCTTGCATTGAGCATTATCAGCGTAAAGGCGCAGCAGGGCACGCACTTTGAAGTCGGCGTTCTCTTTGAGCTGGCCCGCGTCGACAAACTCGGTCAAGCCATAGCATCGATTGAAGCTAGCGATGAAGGGGCCAAGAGATCGACTCTCATTACCGCCCAAACCAACCTTGGAGAGGGCCTTGGAGAGACCAAAGACGTTGGCATAAATGCGGACCATGACCTGGCAGTGCTCCAAGCCCTTGCGCCGCAAGCTTGCCTTGATCTCGTCGTTAAGCATCTGCGCAGCGCTGCTACCGCCTTCGGCACGTTGAGCAATCAGGCTCTCGTTGAAGACGTATCCATCGCCATCAACCAAGACTAAGACGAAAGGATTGCGCTCCTGGTCCCTGGCCATTTGCTTGTATTTTTCTCTGGCCTCTCTCTCCTCTTCATAGTCGCTCTTTAAACGCTTATAGTCGTCGAGCAACACCTCGTATTGATCTAGCAATTGCGAGAGCGCGTCGCTCCTCCGAAATTCAGCGAGCCGGGCCGCAGCCCGGGCGATCTCTTGATCGGTAAGCATGTCTGCGGTGCAGCACCGAAATCGGGGATTACAGAGGCCTGCTCGACGTTAGACACATTCAAACAAAACATATCGAGTCGCTTGCTGAAGCTAAAGGGGGTTGAATTACCTGGCGACGCCCGACGTCACGAAGTCGGGCTGAATCAGGTGGCAGTCGCTGGTCCGCCCGAAATCGGTTTGCTTAAGGGAACTGCAGAGCGAGGGATAAGAACGTGAATTCTGATATGTCCACCTCTAAGTCGCAAAGGAAAGGAAGCAACAGTTAGGGAAAGCATTTGGAAGTTAAGAGGATCCGCGACACAGAACTCAGAACACCGTCGCTGTCGCTGTCGCTGATTGCTGCCAAACAGAGCACCGTTGACATGGCACAAGTCAAGAAAGGCGGTATGTCGGGGCACGAAGAAGGACCCCGCAAAGCTACGCCCTATCGGATTAAGGGGGGGCAATTGGTACCGGTACTTTGCATCTGACACACAACTTGCTGCATCACCTGTACACAGTACGTCTCACGGTGTTTAACCTCGCACAAGATATTGGCGTTTAATCTACCTTAGGTATCCCTCAGACCCTCACCTAAGACACGAACAATAGCTTCTTCGAACTTTCTAAAGCAAGTGGTGGCCATAGATGATCCTGCAGTTCAGATACCTCCGATAGAACACAACGAACGTCGACCACAGAGCCTCGCTATAGCATTTCCGCAGACGATACGTTATCACTTTCCTTTGTGAGGGACCGGCCTTCAACGCAAAGTCGGGTAATGGATGGACTTAGGAACTCATCCAGAATTCATAGCCTTTTGTCATAGACATTGCTAACACTTTTTACAGGAATTCCTCATTTCCTCGTAACACCATATCCAACATCCATGATGCCATGATCCGTCTCCCGCTAATCCAAAGGCGGAGACTCAAGCCAAAAGAAGAAAAAATGGGCTAATTACAGGCACCTGTATCATAAACGCCAGACCCAAACAAATACCTTGTTACATGTCCATCAACAAGACTAAAGCAGCATGACAGCATAACCAGCCACGGCAGCCAATACACCAACGGTAACCATGCTGGCCGATTGTGAGGCGCCCGCGTTCAGACCGAGAAGGCGGCCAAAGGCATCGCCGGCCTGATTGACGGCGTCGGTGGCGTTCTTGAGAGCCACGCACATGTCGCTGAGGTCAAAATTCCTGAGGACGTCGTCGCTGCACTTGTCCTGGGGGTTTGTGCTGTTGGCGTTGCAGGCGCGCACCTTGTTCTCCCAGTTGACGCCGTCGTCGGCGCCGCAGAGGCACTTGACGTCCGAGGCCCCGCACTTGAGGTCCGCGGCCGTCGTCTTCAGGCAGTTGTCGATGCAGTCGGGCAGGGCGCTGATCTTGCCGCCGGGCCCGTCGGCGCCGAAGAAGTCTGATACGGCATTGGAGGCGCCGTTCACCGCGTTGAGCACGTCCGAGACGCCATCAGCCCGTGCCAGAGGGGCGGCGAGGGGAAGGAGGAAGAGGAGGCTCTTGACGATGGAGAACTGCATTTTGAATGGGGTATGTATATAGGTGGGTGGAGATGTGGTTTGGTTTGAAGGTTCTTGGCCCGGATTGGCTGCTGGCCGCTGTTATGGCAGGAAGGTAATCTCAAGAACAAGGAGAACCGTATATCGGAGCGGCTGCACTGCTTGATGGAGGAGGAGCAGAGAAGTTCAAGAGTTTGAATTGCTTGAAGGGCTTATTGGAATGCTTCCAGTAACTGAGACATGGGACCGGAACACTTCCGGAATATATACTCGTGCAGCTCGGACACTGATAACATGTTTGTCGCATTTGGCGTCTCGACCAGGAGACGGATGGTGGAGGCAGACATTGTCAGCCGGCTGTGGTAAGGCTGTGGTTGGCGCAACCGTTCTCGTGCCACACAAACTCCACACGAACTCGACTGCGCCGCCTGGTAAAACGCAAAGATGCGATGTGGCACGGCGTGATCCTTCGACTGGCTGGAACCTCTGGAAACCCTCCTGTTGCCATGCAACCCGCGTTGACACTGGAAGGCCAAGAAGGTCTTTCCTGGAAGCGGTATCGCCTAGGGGAAGGAGGAATCATGAAAGGATGCGATGGCCTGTTGTGTTTGTTGGGAGCAATCGCAAGGTTGGGGTCCGGTGGGGGCTGCCTCGTCCAAATTCTGCTGGGCTGGGTGGGGCCGCCTGCTCCCGGTTCTGGGGCCCTGGGGAGTGGGGACTAGGCAAACGTTATTTTTGTCACGGACCGGATGGCCACCAACCGCAGCCCTCGCTTTTCGGAGGCGAAGTTAGAAAGAGGAAAGTGGTCAGTGCCACAGCAGCTCGGGCTGGATGAGGCTTGCCAAGTCTCCGCTTGTCATATCTGGAAGTGGCTAACGTTAGGCAGCACCAAAGCCATCACTCGAAAGTGACAACGCTGCTGCGAACAATACTGCCCCAAGCGAAGCAGGATTGCTCGGCGAAACCAGATCAATTGTTCAATTGAAGTCAGAAGCCTTCAGGGATCATTGATCAGCCAGAGTTACATTTTTGACCCCAGCAGTCCTTACCTCCGTACGGAGCCCAGCTGGCAGTCTTGCAGATGGAACTTCATCTCGTGCTCCAACTCAATCAATCCACACACAAGCTGCGTGGCAGAGAGGGAATGCGTCAGGGAGGTCTTATAGACCCCCTGAAGTTCGCTGGTTCGATCCCAGCCGCAGCGACATGTTCTTTTTATCGTCCCTTTCCAAGTCAGCTCACACCATTTCATCAACCTCATACACTACGGAGTACAATTCATTGAGTGCTTAGAGCTTTGCCTCGCTCCCACTTCTGTTGCCTTCTGTTAGTCGCAAGCGTGCCGAGGGGGTGCCGAGCCTCCCACTCAATTGCATGGGCTGAAACACTCGATCCGGGGTGTCAAGAGACTGGGAAGGGGCCAAGAGCAACGCCGCAGGCTTGCATCCCCGTGTCTCTTCCGTGGCTCGCTAAGGTGTTGGCAACAAGATGTAGCTAAACCTTACCGTGGCAACGGAGCCCGTTGGCCGTAGTTCGGCAGGGCCGCATCGGGAGGCCCACAGGGGCGGCCGACAGCGCACCCAGGGTAGTGTGGTGACGGAGACTGGGACACACTGCCTCGAGACTGCCAACACACTCACAGCATTCACGCCCCGCAGATCGATGACTTGCCTACCTAATTGCGGTAATATGATGAATCTCGCTGTTGTACGGAGTATGTACAATTGACATACATGCGGATACAGAGTACGAATATTCGTACGGAGTACGTCCTTCGAGTTCCAGCAGCTGAAGGTCTTGGTCACGCTCAGATAGCAGATATTTCTTGGCATCATCCATCAAGGCAGGGTTCAGAATCCCAATCCACCATCTGGGTCATCGGCCGCTTGTATTTCACTTCACCGCCTGAACGTGGCGAAACCAGGCTTCCCATTGTGGCCCCTTGATGCACATCATTGTATCCTTTTTTGCTGGTGTCTAGAGGTGGTGTATAGAACCCGAGATATCCCGAATGTGACAGTTCGGCATGGGGACTCAAACATTTTCAAAGGGTACCATCTTGAGCCTGAGTGTTACCTAGGTCACGCCTCAACAGTTCCACTACCAAGGTACTGCCGCTACCTACACAGTTACACTTTAAACAGGTCTGAACAATCCGCAACAGAAAACACTCAGCTACTGAGCTACATGACCTCGAGTCCTCGGCAGCTCGACTGTGGCTGGCTACCATACCGCGGCACCACCCGGGTACGATGAGTGCTGGTGCTGGTGGTAGCGTGGATAATACAGATATACGGTCTCAACACTCGCCCTGAAGGGGATATGCCCTTGTAGCGGTAGTTGCCCGGATTCACCAAGCAATCAGGCACCCTATTTCCGTTGAAATCAGGCTGGATGCCCAACTATTGACGCTGACCACTGGCCATGACCACCATGTTTGGTCACCTGCATGTCAACCTCTTTGAGCACCCACCCCACAGTGACGGGCAGTCCTTTAGGATGACGCGGTAGAGCAGCACCCCGGCCCGGACGGCTTGGCACAAGCGGATTCTACGGGCGCCGGGCCTGGTCTTCACTGCGGCTCCTAAGTCAAAGGATTGGACCCCAGCACTGGCGGACGTGACGGGCTCCATCCGTGACCATACTTGGTACGTGTACTATGTAGTTGGGTGGGCCATGGTCAGCACCATATCCCCGTCGTCCGGGCCCCAAACCCCCGGACCTGGACCCTGCAGCAATGGCCTGCCGGTGGCTGGAGAAGCCCGAGTAGGGAGCGCCGGGGACTGGCAGCGTGCCTAGCCAGACATGCAACCTGAGGTCTTCGTTGGGGGCCCGGCCCGGAATGGGTGCGTCACGGTCCGGAGATCATAAGTCATCGCTTGCCCTGATAGCAAAAAAGCCTTACGAAGTACACTTTCTGGCGGTGCTGATTGCCGGACGGTCGTTGTACAATACGTGACAGCATGCTCATATACATTACTCGAGCGGCAGGCCAGTACCCCGTTCTGGTGCTAGGAGGTAGGTAGGCAGGCAAAATTCGCTCCATTGTCATAACCTACGAGAATCAAGTTTGGGTCCAGCTCGGGACCCTTGCCGTGGAGAGCTTCCGAGTGAGAGCGGCTCTTGTTGGGTCCTGGCTGGGGGGGTTGGGTGTTGGCGAATGGAATTTCGCCCCTTATAGTATGGTTAGGTACTCATATCTTAGTGCCATTATCGCACCACTTGAACGTCTTAAGCCGAGTATCGGTCCTTCTTGAAATCTTTAGACTGTTAATCGCTTTAAGGGAAAGCAGCTCCTTCCCTTCAAAAGAGGGGTTATACACAGTTCTCGACTCAGGTAGTACTTTATAGGAAGGAATGACTGTCTACAACAACAGGTACCTTCCTACCTAGGTTGGGTTGCGGACTCTACATGTAGATAGGTAGATAAGCTGCTCGTTTCAAACAAAGTGCTCATGATCCATTCTATATCGATTTGTTTCATGGTAGCGAAACTTCCCCAGCTTACATTTTGCCAGGTGATCATGGACGCTGCGTGAGGGCGTGCAATCAACCACTTTTTGACCCATCCTGTGCAGGTAAAGGCTGTGCTATCGAAAAAGGGGTTGTCTGTGAGCAATGTGAAATCAGCTTCACTGGGACCCACACTTACACCGGCGACAGATGAACACAGACAGGCTCGATTCTTCCTCACGTCACCAAAGAACTGGTTTGTAACACGGTCTGTATTAACCCCATCTTCCGGAGTAGCTTTGATACTACATGCGATAGACAGACACAATAATAGAGCCTGAACCAAAACGAGGCGCAAACAGTCTGCCGAGTGAGAGTCTGCCTTCCATGCTATGCTTGCATCTCGATCGGTCCGAACTGACTCAAGAATTAAGATCCTGATTTCTTCGGCTGCATTACCGATTCTGGGCAAAAGCTATGCTTATCACTACTACTCGAGAAACCACTGCAACTTACCCAGAGCTACAATATTGAAGGCAGGAAATCCGGGGACTCGGAATCCGAGCGCGTGACCTCTGATCAAGACAGAGATCCGGCCGAAGCTGATGTGAGGTGTGAGATGATGAGATGCGGTGAAAACACTGACCCATGCCGACCGCTATGTAGCAAGGGAGGGCGCAATTCAATTAATTGAATTGGAAGGCCTATATTTGAAGTTGAATTGACTGGCCAGTGGATATCTGAATTGAAAGTTGAATTGTTTAATTAATTAGCTAGTAGATATCTGAATTGAAAGTTGAATTGATCAATGAATTGCAATTAATTAATCAATCCATATATAACCCTAACCCTAGTTAACCCGCACCCACACATCACTCTTCCAGACCTACCTGACCGTGCTGACCTACCTTCCAACCGCTCAGAATAGCTAGTAATAGCTAAATCGCTCAAAAACGCAAATAAATTCCAATACGTTCGTTTTTCGGAAGGCTGACTAAGCAGAAGTCAAAGACTGCCCCCCTGAATCTGAACTTGCACGTGACGTGTGCCACGGTAAGGACGCGCCTCTGAACGGCTCCGTTGGCGATATACGCGTAAGAAAAGCGCCTAACTGGCTGAGGCTCTGTTTGAACGGCGACGGGAATAGCGGCGACAAGCGTCAGGAGTTGGGAACGTTTGTTTGCCATCGTATTCGTAGCATTGTATTCGTGGATTCGTACTAAGTAGGAAAGATTCGAAGGAAGGAATTGAAGCCTGGGAAAGCCTAGAAAAGTAAGCAAAATTGATCAATTAAGTTGAATTGGGTATAAAACCTAATTGAATTGAAAGATATTTGAAGGCGCCTGATTGAATTGAAAGTTGGAAGGTTCTAATTGAATTGATTGGGTATGAATTGAAATTGCGCCCTCCCTTGCTATGTAGCCTACTGGCCGGAGGCACTGGCCCGTCCCGGAGTATTGGAGCGGATAGCGGCCGGGTCCGGTGCTTGGCTGCTATGCAATGCGGTGAGGTGTTGCCATACCACTTGCCGGTTCTCCTGCATGTTGGAAGAGATATGGTCAATGTTGTGAAGAAGGATTGGTCTGACGGGTGACGACTTGGGAGTGATGGGTCGGCTTCCGACCTTGAGTTGGGAGAACGTTTACGTCGCGGCTATGAGGTGCGGTGCTTCCTTGCGCGGAGTGTTCGGGTCAGCCGCCGTCGATCCATACCTTACATCATGATGTCACGGCATCCAACATACCTTAACTAGGTACCTTACCTGGTATGTAGAAGGTCAGCAGGGTGGTTGCTGACTGGATCTGCTGCTGCTGATTGATCGCTATGGCTTAGGTGCGCTTTCAGAATACGCTCTCAAAGCTGAATACGCGTTGGGGGGGAATATAATGCGCTGCCGTGCTAAGATGCTGAATACGCTCCAAAGAAAATACGCCCTGATGCAAGCTGTCGAACTCTCAAGGAGGTTCCGGTCCGTGGCCAGTCTATGGATACCGAGATTCTGTGGCAAAAGGTTTGTTGATGGAAGAAGCCAAGTTCAATAAGCTCTGAGCAAGAAGGGGATACGCTTTCATCATATTGTCCGCACGTGGTCCAAGACGATCCGTCTCGTGTAACTTGAAGACTCAGGAGATATATAAACAACGTCCATGTCTAACTAGTCCAAAAGCATTCTTCATTCACCAAAGCCAAACAATTCCCAACATCCTTGAGATCATTCTTTCATTCCTACATTCAAGAAAAGCATTCTTGGTACAATACACTTGACATCTTGAAAATGCATTTTTCCAAGCTCCTCATCTCCGCCGCCGCCGTCTTCCTTCAAGGCAGCCTTGCAGTCAATGTCTTGGTCTACAGCGGTCATGACTGCACAGGCACGGAGACCAATGTCGCGGTCGACAATGGTGCAGCCTGCCATGGCACTGTCCCCCGATTCAAGTCTTACAAGGAGAATGGATGGGGACCGGGCAACGGACAGAGAATCGCCTTCTACCAATCGGGCACGTGCGCTACGGAGTCATTCTTATACGACACTTACTCGCATGATGGAGATTACTTCCACTCGCACAAGTGCTACAACATCAACGGCCATTCGGTTTCGGACTATGCTGCGAGCATGAAACTCTATTAGCTTGGTTTGTTGGTTAGGGTTGGGCCAGGGGCGTCAGCTCTGCACATCGAACTGTCAACAAGCCATCAACCCCTTTTTCGCCGCGGCCCAAAATTCTGGAAACGCTAGAAAGTGAAGGCATTGTTACGGGCTTGGCTCACCCAGCTGGGAAGGAGGGATATCTTCATGTTGTGGGCAGTCATATCAAATGACTGAAGTCGGATCGTTTCAGGGGTTAGGGACAGATATAGACACGCCCCCTTTTTTTGTTTACTTCATCACAGTCTTTACCTTAACTACATGTATGAATCAAGGGGTACTGCAGCTATGCCTCATTTGATACTTTGTCACTAGGTACCTAAGGTAGATAGGTTGAATCAACTTGACAGTCCTTACAAATCCTGCCTTTACTGATCCCGTCCTCTCAATGCCACTTGGGCGCGAAGAAAGTCAACACATTATGCAAATAAAACAGGGCTCTTCTTGTATTTTAAAAGTGCTCGTCTACAAGGATTATATCGAGGCGCGTCATATTAATAGTACGGCACATGCCGGGTACAACACCAAATCTTTGACTCATATACCACAATCACCACAGCCTGAACGACCTCCTTGAGTCCCTTGACCCTTCATCAAGCCTCCCGCAGGCAACCCAAACAACTCGGCCATGCGGTACCGCGGGAACTACGTATGGAAGTGAGTGATGCCCTTGGCGTATGCGTCAAAGTTGGCGCGATACTCGGGCTCGTCGGCCAGAGCAGCCAGCACACGATTGTAGACGCGAATGCCCTCGTCAGCCACAGTGCGAAGCGCCGTCACCACATCGACTCCGTCCTTGTGGGCACGCATGGCAATGTAGTTCTTTTGCTCTCCGGCCAGATGCTCCTTGTACCACGAGATGACGTCGTTGACGATGTTGGTGAAGATGATGACGTCGGGGATGGTCTGGACATACTTCTCGAGGCTGCCTGTTCCTGTGGGCAGTTGAGGGTCCGAGGCGCGAGCTAGTGCCAGGAGGGAGTACATGGGTGACAGCCCCGTCTTGAAGCGCAGCCAATCCGGGAAACCGGGGGCGTCTCAGTTTAACTCGGCGTGCTCGGTTAACAACTCGATGCCAATGCCGTTGGCAGCGTCGTAGCAGGCGACGACAAGCATGTTGGCGACGAGCGGATCAAAGTGCTTCCACAGCTTTGGAGTCAGCTCACGGACAAACCAGTCGAGTACCGGATCGCCCGTTGGCTGTCCTGTGGCAACGTTGCGCTGCAGCTGCCGCAAAACTTCGGGCTTGTGTTCAAGAATGTCATCGGCGTGGAAAAAGAAGATTGACGGTTGCGCTACTATAACCTGATACTCGAACGGGTGTGACCAGTTGAAGTCGGCTGCTACATAGCAAGCAGAAGTAACCTGATTTTTGGAGTTGATCAGGCCCATGTGTGCCCGGAGGCTCGATGACTCCAGTTCCGACAGCACTGCAGCACGGAGCTTCTCAATATGGGTCAACGTGAGGGCATCGGAATCGATCTTACGGCCCCCGGTAACGCCACTAACAAAGTGCGAGAGAGTCTCCCGAATAGAGAGGACGGCCTCCTGTTGTTCTGGTCAGCACAGGTATGACCCCTAAATCTGGACAGTGGTATCAAGGTTGTCAGGGTAGTAGCATATACCTCAGAGAACCCAGCCATGTTTGACTTAATAAGTAAGGTAGGTGGGTAGGTATGTGTATTATGGTTCAGTAGTGCTAGACTCGGTTTCAGGTTGGAGATACAACTTGAGAATACTAGTACTACGTCTTTTAAATGTTAGTTACGCCAGCATTTGTTTGGAGGCTCGGGAACGTGGCCTTGTGAATTTATGGACAATGTGCCATCCGGCCTGATTACATCAAGATGATCAAAGAGCTCTCCGTCCGGTTGATCGCGTCCCGACCAGGCACTGCGTAGTGCGAGCGCCCAGCTAAGCTACTAGTAAGCTACCCTAGCGCTAGAAACTTGCCGACTCGGAGCAGGGCGGACGGCCAGGCAGTCTCCCCTGGTATGGATTTCTGACCCGAGAAAGGAAATTGGATACGAGTTCCATAGCGTTCACCGCCTCTCCACCAGACTGTTACCATCTTGCTTGAAGGATCTAGCAGGAATGCTCTGAGATCCACATCATGCCACATATCCCTGGATCGAACACTCAACTTGATAGAATCGGTTCAAATTAGATTCTTTCGTCTCGATTCTATCCGTACCAATAGGAACTCCACGTCAACTTGGAAAACGCCCCGGGCCCCTTCCCCTCGATTCCATCTCAAGCAGTCGGCTTGGGCTGGTCAAGAATAACATCAAGGACCTTGTGATCATCGTAAGTCGCAACGGTGTGCTCACGCAAGACAGCAACGCGCTCCTTACTCTGCAGGCCGTCCGGGCAGATCAGCCAGATGACGTTGGTCATGAAGGACCGACGGTACTCAATCATGACCTCCGGGTCGTTGTGACGGTCGAACTTGGGCCCGCCAAGCCTGTGAAGCGTCTCAAGATAATGGTCAAGAATCTCCATCTCGTGGGCACGACGGTCCTCGATGCTCAACATGGCCGTCATGTGATAGACGATGTCGTGGAAGCACGAGCCAAAGTGGAAGGCAGACCAGTCCAGGAACCCGATGCGGCCGTCAGCCGTGAAGTAGATGTTGCCGATGTGCGTGTCGCCGTGCAGCAGAGTGCGGAATCTGGGGTTGCGCTCGGCGTAGTAGCGGTCCAGGGCCTCGTTGCACCGCTTGCCGTCCATCAGGTACTCGGGCAGCTTGGGTCGTCCAGGGGTCCGCACCACCTCGTCCCAGGGCGTGCACATGAACTTCATGGCTGGGTCGTAGTTGTTCCAGATCCCTGCAGCCGTTGGACCGTTAGATATCCGGCATACGAACGGGGCAGAATAAGGTTGGAAACAAGTTTTCTTACAGGGGTGATCCTCCTGACTCTGGCCCCAGTATTTTGCATGCAGACCCGCCAGCTGCTCAACGCCGTTCATGACCTTCTCGACCGGGTAGGAGGCGACTTCAGGGGGAAAGGTGCAGCCCTCGCTGTTGAGGTCGCTCATGATAGCGATGCCCTGCGTCTCGCTCGTGCCGCCCCACCAGCCCTTGGGGAAGACCATCATACCGTCCAAGACGGGAGCAATCTTTGTGAAGAACATGGCCTCGCGCTGTGCCAGGCTGACGGTCCAAGGCTGCGCGGCTATCGTCTTGGGGTCGAAGACGCCTTTGACGCACACATACTTGGGCCTCTCAGCCTCGCCGCTGCTCTCATCCTCGTCATACGTGATGGTGTAGAACAGCTTACTCGCCGTGCCCCAGATACTTCGCGTGTGCTCGGCCGATTTGACCTTATGGCCAAGCTTGGCTCCGAACCAGTCCGGCGACAGATCCGAGGGAAGGGCTGGAAGCTGCTCTGAGTCGCTTGCTGATCCGGACATGGTTGCTTTCTTTTTTCCTGTGGCGGTTTTTGGTGGTTGTCTCTTGTTTTCGTCTTCAGAGTCGACGGGGTCAAGACCGTAAGACCGTGGCTGGGCGATGACCGGGGATAAGGCATTTAAAGAACGCCTCCAAACAGTTTCCTCCTTGCCTGCCCCTCTCCCTTTCGTTTCTGTGACCACATCCGCTCTAATCGGACTTGTGCTACATGTAACAGCAGCTCAGTGACCCCTGGGAGTACAATGCTACCCAATGTTGATTCAGGCTGCGAGATACATCCACTTCAATGCAAACTCCAAAAGCTATGGGTATTGTTAGATGCATGTTACAACCTCATATTTGCCTACCCGAACTAACCTTTCAAGGCTTTGACCTTTCTTCCAGTTCCACGCTCTCACGCTATAGCCATTTGCCCATTCAAGTTCTGTGCATCCACGCCGGCGCCAAATCAGCAAACATGGCCTCATGCTCAGCCGCGTCTGGACGCACCTGTCTCGACGCGCAAACCCTCTCGCATAGCACCTCGGGACTAGCGTCGTCTCTGCACTCGTCGGCTACTACTTGAACCGCTTCTGGACGTCCGGCCGCGGGTGTGTCTGAGGGCCCGTCATCAGGCTTCTCATTCTCAACCTCGTGTATGGAGGCGGCCTGAGAACTTGATGTTGATGCACAAACCGAGAGGATATCCACGGGGACGAGTTTGCCGCCGGGCTCGATATAGTACGCCACAGCAGCCAACTCCTCGGCAAACCCTTCGCTGTCGATGCCGTCGAGGCTGCTTTCTCGGTTCTCCGGCCGCGAGTACTCTGACTGCTTGGCTGCCGAGAAGGTGCTCGTGGTATCCGTGTCAAACGTGGACGGCATCCGGCTGCAGCTTGCTGAGCCTTTCTCCTGCAGCCCCCCGTGTGCTATGGATCCGCCTCCCTTAGAGGGGTTGGGATTGGTTGAGGCCGATGCTGAAGCCTTGCCGTTGGCGACGGGGTTTCGAGCACCGTGCAATACAAAATTGGACTCGAGCAATTTGTCCATGCTGTGTTGTCTGATTATCAGGCTGATGAAAAAGGCGGCAATTGCAGCTCCCGTGATGGTCCAGTAGACCGTGTGGAATCCTGCGACATCTGGTTCATGGTTAGTGGTTCGTGTGCTAGGTAAGGACCGTAAGGTACTGCCCGGGATTTTCCGAGTCACTTACACGCTTGCAGAGAGCCTATGCGGATGGGATCTGTCGGAAGCATCAGAACCAGCGTCTTGACAAAGGCTTCGGCATTGTGCCCGATGCTCTCCGGCAGGCCGAGACTATCGAGCTTGTTGCTCATGGCATTTTGGAACGCGGTGCCCCCGATAGCTACTCCGATTGACATGCCGAGAGTGCGCATGAAGGCGTACATGGCAGCCGCGCGCCCGGCATCTTCGACTTTGCTCACGGCCTGGATGCCGACATTGACACTGGTGAGGAGCATCCCGTGGCCAATGCCGAATATGGCGAGTACAACGGCCCAGACTGGCGTCTTGGTGTGTTCATCCAGGAGCGCCAAAAGACCGCATCCAATGGCGGTAATGACCCAGCCGCTCCAGATGGCCCATCGGTAGCGACCAAACCTGGTTGTAAGGAAAGAGATGACAATGCTTCCGGGGAGGAGAAGGCAGGTCACAGGGAAAATATCTAAGCCAGCTTGGGTCGGCCCCTTGAATTTGACGGCAGTGAAGTAAAAGGGTATGTAGTAGAGGGCACAAAAGAGCTATGATGTTAGGCAAAGCGTCAGCAGGAAACCATTTCCTACAGGGAAGAGGTTCAAGAGGGGCATACAATGAATCCCTGGAAGAGGGCACAGGCGTAAGTGGCGAGCGCCGAAGTTGAGCAGAAGAGGGATGGGCGGAGGAAGGGTTCTCTGGCGCCGTAGCACTCCCATATGACAGCAATAACCACACCCAAGACCCCGACAAGCATGGGCGTTATTGCTTGGACGCTTCTCCATTCGTACTGGATGCCCGCCCAGGATATTCCCACCAGAAAACTGGTCATGCCACCAATGAAGAATAGACCGCCTACCCAGTCAACGCGTGCAAGCTTTGACATGAGCGAGGTCTTCTTGGTGGTGAGATTGACGTAGAGCGGGGTCAGAACCAGGCCCAAGGCGCAGAAGGGAAACTGGACAAGATCCATGGTCAGCAGTAGGACATGGGGATGAGTAGAGTCAGAACGGGAGGGCAGGCAGCGCGTACATTGATGTAGAAACACCACGTCCAGATAACGTGTTCAACAAACAAGCCCCCGATCAAGGGTCCCAGCACACTGCCCAGCGCCCAAGCAGCCAGAACGAGAGAAAAGTACTTGGGACGTTGCCGTAGCGGGACAATATCGGCGAAGATGACCTGTCCCATGGTGATTATCCCGCCTCCGCCTATGCCTTGCACCGAGCGGCCGACAAAGAAGACGGTAAAGTCCTTGGCAACGGGCGCGCACAAGACTGTCCCCAGAGTGAAGAACAGCACAGAGGTGAGGAGCATCTCCTTGCGGCCAAAGATGTCCGAGAGGGCGGCAATGAAGGGTTGGCACACCGCACATGATAGCAAGTACGACGTCCCCGCCCAAAACGCATCTGTTGCTGTTCCGCCAAGGTCGAGTGCTAATGTCTGTCCAAGTAATTAGCTTCTTTGTCCGCCCCTGAGCAGTGCACCCGAAGGTGGTAATGATAGCCGTACTGGGAGAACTGAGACGAGGATCGTTGCGTCCAGGGCCACCATCAGTGAGATGACTGCAAGCGTGAGCATCACGGCATACTCCTGCTTCCCAGGCTTCCATTCCACTTCCGCTTTTTCTCCCTTTTCCAGACTGGAGCCGTCTGGACCCGCCGAGCTCACCTCTCGCCCACCGTCAACAGCTTCTTTTTTGCTTTTCGCAGCCATGCCAGGCTCTGTTATCGCCATTTTGCCCCCCCTGAACCCTGATATCGGTGTAAAGAAATGGGGTCCCAGAAAGCCTCGCCTGACCATCGACTGGCGTATGACGCGTAGGTAGAAGCCACTCGAATATGAATGAGCGCTAACCTGAAGACACGGAAGAAAGGAGCGACGGGAGAGCTGGCACGGCAGCCCGAATAAGGGCGATATCTCTTTGGAACAGCAGTACAGGCTGGAGAGTACCACTGACGCCGTCGCGGGGAATTGGGAAGGGGGCATTCTTATTAGCTCATGTAGCCATGTCGACATACTTACCCAGTGCATAGCATGGCGACACAGGAGGGCGCGCGTTGCACCATGGAGCAGTCCGGAAACTCCATCGACTGTTGGCGAGTAGTGGGCCCAACATCATCAGATGGACAGACTCGATGTTTTCGATATGGCGCCGAGGAACCGAGACTCACAGTTCTGTCCGGATGCCCGTGGCTTCTGAGTACCACCTGTCCAGGATGCATTCCGCGACCAGGGCCAGCAGCATCATCTTTGCTCAGAGTGGTACGTCGTGTTGGCAGGGCCCCGAGGGCAGAAGAAGTCTTGATCATCGCAGTTCCATCTTGCATAGGACCGCCGATGGATTTGGTTGTTAACCACTTCGAACTGCAGCTGACTTGCAGCCAATCCGCAAGCTCTACGTCAGTTAAGCTACTAGATGCTCAAGGGCGACGCCTGCTTGTCACATGTCAATGCCAGATGTCGGTATGGTTTGGTTCGTCTGATGAATCTATCAGCAAGCCATTGTGCCGACGGTCCAAATGCTGGACAGAATACGTACCAGTCTCGCATCGAACAGCCTTCTCTCGCCCGAAACGGGCATCTTGCACGCGTAGAGCGGATGACCGATGGACGACAACTGCTAGTAATATGCTGCCCTACGGGGTTTTGGCAGATTTCTGAGCTCAGGATGCCGTCACTTTATGTCATTCCAAGCCTAGGGCAGCCTAGCACTAGCTGGTCAGTGATCATCTCATCTTTCACTCGGGTCTCCAATCATACCGTTTACCGTATACTCTGGACCGACTATGACTGTTGATCTCAAGGTCTGGCAGCTAAGCAACTCGTCGGCTAGCTATCCTTTGAGCTAACCCGCTCAGAAACCCCAGCCATGGTCGTGCTCTGGTAGGTACTTAGTTGGGCAGGTAATTGTATGTAAGGTCAGGTACGTTTGCCGGCCGCGCCGTCTTCCCCTCACCAACCAATCAAAATCCCACGTAGTATGGTAGACAGAACGGACAAAATGCGGTTCGTGGCTGCGTCTCGCACTTCTCAGCTTGGAAAAAAAGGCAAGTTAAAAGGCTGCAAGGCTATATTTAGATGACGTTCGGCGGGTGCGCTCCAGTCTGTAATCTCGAGGCTGGCGGGGGGTCTGTCGACGTTCGCTAGCGCATGTAAGGTTCCTAGGTACGCAAGGCAGTCGGTCCGTAAGACGGGGCTGAGAGTTGAGGGACAAGTTCCTGGTACAATGACTATGGAAGCTTACCAGGGCAGCGGAAGTTAGTGTTGGGTAGATAGGAACTTTGTGGGGTAGAGGTCTGGCTTCGGGACCGGCTGTATGGGGGCATTCCTCTTGATGTCCTTCGGCGTTGAGCTGTGTGCTGGGGTAAGTGTGTCCTCTGTCTCCTTCTGGACGTTGAGGTGAGTCGTTGCCCTATCCCACAGCAACATTGCCCATCGTCTCGTCCTCTCTGAAACACCGGGGCTGTGGCACTTGGTGTGTGGTATTGGGCTGGCTTCGTCTATAAACGCCCAAATTGGCGTTTCTCAAGCAGCTCTAGCTTGGAGTTCTGAAATAAACGTACATTCCAAAATCATGGCTCTCGATAATGTTGTATCCCACCGACCGATCCCGCCGCTGAGATAGAGCTGCCGACCTCAATCCAGAGTATAATACACGCCCGATAATCGTAACTCGTCCCCGCTCATCGTCACTCATTGCTCGACGTTCCGTTGTCGCGCATCGCTGTTCTCATAGCTTGGTCGTCTGGTAACCACCGGTGGCCACAATCTCTTTGTGGCTACAGGGATCGGCACTAAGGGGGTGACGGCCTAGTGCCTGATCTGAAGGACACTGCGTCGTCGAACGGGTTGAGATGGCCATTTCCGTTTGACTGCCCGCCGTGGTACTTGGGCTCCGTTCCGGCCTGGAGAGGCTCTCGCGACCGCCTGGGCTGGATATGTGGCGATCCGTCCTGAGACCCGTTGTCCATGCGAGGTTTCCGTGAGGATGGCCCTTCGTCCATCCCCCAGTCCGACATCTGGAACCTGTCGTTCATGTCCTCTGCCTTGTCCTGCTTTTTCCGCCTGAAATGCAGGACCATCAGCACAACGAAGGTCACGAGAACCAACACGCCGCTAAAACGCCATCCATATGTTAGCAAACTCTCGGCACTCCAAACCACAAGAGGCTGGATTGTGGACCCACATCACGGAGCCGACAACGATCCAGGTCATAGATATCGACGAGACGGCCGGCTTCTCGCACAGGTTTACCCCAGGCTGCGGCGAGCAGTTCTTGTCCTCGCGCCGAACAAGCATATCCACTACTGCACGTCTGAAGTTTGCGGTAGCTGAGCGGATCAATGGTGCATCCGCATCCCCTCCAGACGCCATTGTCCTCGACGTGATTATCCTCGGGGGCATCGCGTTGCGTAACGAATGAATGAACGCGCTTCAGTCAGTGTAGTACAGCTCAATCGTGCATTGAAGTTCGCGCTCCTTAGGCTGCTAGAGCGTGTGTATAACTCTGGTGGTATCTACTTGGTGGTTCAGTTGCCAAGAGCCAACGGTCGCGCCACGTTGGTTTCGAGTCTGGATCTTGGAGGGTCAGGGAAAGATTTTCGCGGCATAGGGGTAGCCTCCGCCTCGTTCTTCGGGAATTGATGGCTTCAATGCAGTCGCCGTCGTTGTCGCCGTCGCTGCCGCCGTGACTTGAAAGCCTTCGCTCACAAAACTGGAGAGAATTACGGTTGGTGGCACGGCGGGTAAAGGAGCATCAGCCTGAGAGAATCTGTAATTAAAACACTAGCGAACCCTCAATCCTTCTCGCGTTTAATTAGGCAGGTGACGTAGGGGATGCCAGCCCACCAAGGCCAAACGGCCTGGACCCACTTGTCCCTGGTTGCGTAAAGGGGAAACTGCTACCAGGACAGGAACAATTTTGATTGGTGTTTCAGGCCGTGGCCCACACTCCAATCTGGGAACAAGCATCGCTGCAGGTATCGCTCCTGGCAGCAATTGGCGGGCTGCTCGATCCAACATCCTGTTTCACGCCAGTGAGCCATGTTCAGGCAACGACTGCATGAATGCATCATCGAAGATACAAGGCAATGATACCAGGTACAAGAAACTCTCGAACAAACCTGTTTGCTGAATTTGGGATACAACGTTATACAAGACACCTTCGCTGGCGCCAGCAGAAATGTGGGTGCTCTAAATCCGGATACGTTCCTTTTGGTAACGGACTGGCGCAAAACATGTTGGGTTTTGGAAATATCTCCTTCCGGCCAGGCAAGGAGTAAGAAACGCTTGAGCTGCTGCTTATCGGGCGCTTCGCCATATAAGGCCAAATAAGTACTTGTTATATTCGAGAATTAAGGCTATCGAGAACAGCTGTTGGTCACAATCTTTAAAATCCTAGCTTTCGTTGTAGAAGTGAGAGGAGAGGTCGCTCATTGTTCTCATGCTCTGTCGAGAACATGTAACTCTAACCGGTTTTGGGCGGTATACTGTGAGGCTCGCACACTTATTCGACCGCTGATAGCTATAGCATATGAAGACGGCCTGGAGATAACTACTAATGTGGTTGTTGTATAGTCGTTAGCTGTTGTTCTTCTGACCAGGATTCCATGTGTGGTTCCACCACTGGTGGAGGCAAGGTTTGCAATGGAGGGAGTAGGTAGGAGATGCTTAGAGATACACACCATTTGCGCGTACATAACATCCAATGATCGGATTCAATATCTGGTTCGGTATCAAGTGTACGTATGGAACTCGAACAACGTTGTTTACCTAAGGTATTCACTTGGAGCAATTGCGTCTCGATGCCAGACCCCATGAAGCCTTGGTAAGTTACGGATACAATCATACATATCACAGTATGTAAGGTATGTACTGGTATGTACGTTACAATACTACTTAACATTAACGTTATGGTCCGTGCGTCGGCTAATTATCCCGTTACCATGCAAATTCAGACCCGTGATTTTCCTTCGCAAACAAAAGCTCCAGTCCGATCATCTGATCGCCTCAGCCATTGGTCGGCACATCGAGACTTTACGGTTCAGAAAACCCTGGCTACGCGCACCGCGGTGGTTAACAACACGTCTGCAGACAACACAACCCAGGGGAGACTCGAGCGTAGACTTGCAACATGTCGGCAGTCAATCCAGGCACCTTGCGAGGCACCCCGAACCGCGGGCAGGGCCGCGGTGCCATTCCCTTTGCGAGCGGTTCAGCGGCGTCTGGAATTCCCAGACCGGTTCACGAAACCGCGCAGGGCCCTGCCAGCGAAGCTGGCGTCTCTTCGGTCAGCGCCAGTCGGCAAAAACAGTCCAAGAGAGACGAAGTAAGTTGTGTCGAACTTCCCTGAAGCCTTGTTTTCTCTCTGCCGTTTCTTCCTTGAGCCCAACAAGAGTCGCCCGAACATTGATCAAAGCTAATGAGCGCATGTACAGGCAATTCGTCGAAAGATGGAGAACGATTTGTCCAAGAAGAAACACCTCACGAGCCGCGCCCGGCAGTCACGTAAAGCACCGCCGGGAACCGTCCTGGCCTTGAAGCCAAGCCAGGCGCTACAGATCAAGCCCTCAACTACTGTTGCCGAAGCAGCACAACTCATGGCTGCTAAGCGCGAGGACTGCGTGTTGGTCACCGATGATGACGATCGCATTGCCGGCATTTTTACGGCCAAGGATCTTGCGTTCCGTGTGGTTGGTGCCGGCCTGAAGTCAAACAACGTCACAATCGCCGAGATCATGACCAAGAACCCGCTGTGCGCTAGGACCGACACGAGCGCTACGGATGCCCTTGACTTGATGGTCCGCAAGGGCTTCCGCCACTTGCCTGTCATGGACGAGAATCAGGACATCTCGGGTGTCCTCGACATCACAAAGTGCTTCTACGATGCCATGGAAAAGTTGGAGCGTGCTTATGCCTCTTCCCGACGCCTCTATGATGCCCTCGAGGGTGTACAGTCCGAACTCGGCACTAGCCAGCCGCAGCAGATCATTCAGTACGTCGAGGCTTTGCGGTCCAAGATGTCTGGGCCGACTCTGGAGAGCGTACTGAACGGCATGCCCCCGACGACGGTGAGCGTCCGGACGTCGGTCAAGGAGGCGGCCCAGTTGATGAAAGAGAACCACACCACGGCGGTGTTGGTTCAGGATCAGGGTGCCATTACTGGCATCTTCACGAGCAAAGATGTCGTCCTTCGTGTCATCGCCCCGGGTTTGGATCCTGCCACCTGCAGTGTCGTGCGCGTGATGACTCCTCACCCCGACTTTGCGCCCATGGACATGAGCATCCAGGCTGCTCTGCGGAAGATGCACGGTAAGTGGCAACATCCGCATGGAATCCCAGCCCGCACTAACATTCCCAGATGGTCACTACCTGAATCTCCCGGTCATGAACGATGGAGGCGAAATTGTCGGCATGGTTGACGTGCTGAAGCTTACATATGCCACGCTCGAGCAAATAAACAGCATGGGCAGCACTGACAGCGAAGGGCCGGCATGGAACAAGTTCTGGCTTTCTCTCGACCACGAGACCGAGTCGATGGTGTCTGGCGAAGGTTCACACCACCACACGAATCAGGGATCTCGGTCACTCTTGTCTCCGGACTTGACCCGCAGTGAGCGCCTCGTCACTGACAGCGTGGCACCTGGCGACTCGGCCAGCCACGCGGGCGTCGAGTCACCACACCACAGCGCCGTCGGCGTCTCCCCCGAGCTTCCGCCGAGCGAAGTTCCTTTTCCGTTCAAATTCAAGGCCCCCAGTGGCCGTGTCCACCGTCTGCAGGTTACTGCCGCACACGGAATGGCCGAGTTTGTTGCCAACGTCACAGCCAAGCTTGGATCCGAGGTGGAGGCCATCGGCGGTGCCCCAGTCGTAGAGGAGGGCAAACTGTCTGGTGGATATGCACTAAGCTACCTGGATGATGAGGGCGATTCCGTGTCGATTACAACAGATCAGGACCTTTTGGAGGCCATCATCATGGCTCGCCACGGTCGCCGCGAAAAGGTCGACCTCTTCGTGCATGATCCCAAGGAGCCTCCCGTCGCGCCTAGCCCCCCGCCTGCGCCAACCGCTGCTCCCGAACCCGTGGTGCTGCCGACTCCTCCCGCCTCGTCTGTTGTGCGTGAGCGCCGGAAGGCGCTTGACGATGGCGAGGAAGAAGAAGATGGCGATGAATCCGGAGATGATGAGACACCTGTCCGCCGCAGCAGACACCTGCGCACGCGCACGGCGCAACAGCCTGAGCAGGTCATTGCTGGCGTTCCTAACGAGCTTCTCCTCCCCGGGGCCATTGTCACTCTTGCCGTGGTCATTGTTGGCGTCTTTGCCATCTCGAGGATGTCTAGCCGCTAAATTCACCTCGGTCACCCTGAGTGGTGGGCATTTAGGGAGGCAAGGCGCTCACACAGTCTGCACACCGGCCTTTAATGATTCGCTACGCAACGTCGTTTGGCTGTAGATTTTCTGTATCGAGTTCTCCCATGGCCTAGCGTGCCTGCTTGTTATATACCTAGACAGCCTAATACACATTATTCCCTGCAGTTTTCTCGCGTTCCCTTTCAACCAATTGGTGCGCAATCTTGAATTTTTTTCCCAACGTCCAGGTTAGCGGTCATTCGAATTGTTTGGTTGATGAATTACGTGAGGGTTGATTACCTGGCAGTGACAGCCTGACAGGTCGTCACGACTCACAGCCTCACGGGTCCTTGCCTCGAATCCTCGATGGTGGTCCGGGCGCCAAGACAGCCATGCCGCACAGACCACTTCAATTGATCCCAAGAAAAGCTGATCGCTTCTCCAAATCAACCTCTTGTCTAGAAATGAATCTAGCAGCAACATTTCCGCCATGATTATACGGAATTTCGGCGTACGGCACGGTAAAGCTGCTCGATGTCACCCAGGCCCTTTCCCGTCAGCTAATTGAGCTCAATCTAGGCCGTAGGACATTAGCAGCCCCAATATCGCGGTCATGTCTTCGGACACTTTCGAATAGCACCACGACAACGACAACAACAACAACGGTTGCCGAGCCGCCCGCGCCGCCTGGGAGGTTCTCGAACCCCGCCGCTCTTTGGAAGGCGGCCACAGACGCAGCACGCAAGGCCCAACTTGCCGACATTCCCGTCAACTACCGCGAATATGTACACCAGCGCGAGTATACAAAATCGGTCGGCTCCATTGTCAAGAAGAGATACCATCCTGATTACGCGATCGACAACCCGCCGCATGACGCCACGCTTGAGATGCTGATGGCCGCCCAGGTGCACATGGGCCACCACGTCTCGCGGTGGAACCCGGCCAACTCGAGATACATCTACGGTGTGCGCGCCGGAATCCATATTATCAGTCTCGAGACGACAGCCGCCCATCTGCGTCGCGCCGCTCGCGTCGTTGAGGAAGTAGCCTACCGCGGCGGCCTGATTCTCTTTGTCGGCACGCGCCGGGGACACATGCCGATTGTGGTGCGTGCGGCGGAGCTGGCCAAGGCGTGCCATTTGTACCACAAGTGGACGCCTGGCTCTATCACCAACAGAGATGTGATTCTGGCGTCGGGCCAGTTGCAAATTGTGGACCCCAAGGATAAGCCCTGGAGTGGGTTCGACGAGCACCTGCGGGATCGCCGGCCTGTGGTGCCCGACTTGGTGGTCTGCTTGAATCCTATAGAGAACTACACCATGCTGCACGAGTGCGCATTGGAGAACATTCCCACCATTGGCGTCATTGACACCGACGCTGACCCAACATGGGTGACCTATCAAATCCCGGCCAACGATGACAGGTGAGGACCGGCCAACCACAGGGTATTGAGTTGTAGGTGTAATAGCTGACAGAACATCACAGTTTGCGGTCTGTCACACTTATTGCTGGCGTCCTCGGTAGGGCGGGAGAGCGTGGGCAGAAGCGGAGGCTAGCTGCTGCTGAGGACGGCGTGGTTACCTGGCAAACCCCTGCCGAAATCGACAAGTACATCACTGTGAACGCACGGATAAAGGCTATGGAATCGATGGCTAAGCTAGAAGAGGCCAAGGCCACCGGGACGTTGAGAAAGACCCTAACCCGCGAGGAGCTTATGACGGATGACCAGCTTCTGGACGATATCTCAGAGCCTCTGCCGGTTCCGGACAGGGACGAGTTGTGAGAATCATATTCATACTCGGGAACTGTATCATATTGCTAGAGAACATTGTTGTTGTATGAATACAGATACGAGTGAGAGTCTCTGTTTTCTTCCAGGGGATGAAAATATCCTCCTAGTTACATACGCAAACGGAAATTTTTAGTGACCCCTTTTCCCTTGGCTTACTAAGCTCTGGCTTGTGCACTCAAAATCCGGGACGGCGGTTTCCCCTCACCACGCACAAATCATCACCAAGAACATTTCAGCACAGCGCCGGGTTGCCATCACGTCACCGTGCCCTGTTCGCCGCGCGGCCCGCCACAGCTCGCATTCCTGTAATTGGTGCACCGTACCGCTGGGTACTGCTGCCAGGCACAACGACTGGGTGCCTGAATCGTGCAGCCTGTTGTGTTCGGCCCTTGTCCCCGGATTTGTGTCCCCGGGCCGCCCTTTCCGCAGCGAGACTTCGGAAGCAGTCCAGCTGCCGTTTTCTTGACTCCCGACGTAGTTGAGGTACGCATCCCGGTCTATTGCCCCTTATTATTCCCATACATATCCAGATCAGGGTCCCCAACCCCTACCCTCCCCTAAGTGTAGAATGTCTGATCTACAAGCTAAAATTGTCCACCATTTTTCCACTGCCGATGACTAACCTGGAATAGTCTCCCAGGGCCCTTCGGTTCGGCAGGCTGCTGCTGCGTTCCGGCTTTGGCGTGCACTGTGTAACGTAACGAGTTGGCCGTAGATCGCCGGCCACGGGCTTATACCCGCCAAGATGCCAGCCATCCTGGACGACCCGGCCGCTCCAACCATTTACCGTGTCTCGGGAGACCCCCCGTATCCGGATCCCGCCAACCCGTCGTTACCAGCAACCATTGTGCCCCGCCATGTAACGCTCCGCGACCGTCAAACGGTAGCTACCGTTGTGCCGTTTGCATCCCGCCACCAGGTACCTGAGTCACTGCTCCGCTATCTCAGCGACCAGTTCAGCAAGGAAATCGAGGGCGGTGATACGTACCCGATGCTGGAGCCAATGCCCTATGACAAGTTCGCATCGTACTGGTTCCAGAACTTTGCCGGCATCATGCTTCTCGGCCATCTGGAGGGCGCTGCTGACGTATTTGAGGGCAAGGACTGGTCAAAGGAATGCCTGGGAACTTTCTACATCAAACCAAACTACCCAGGCCGCAGCAGCCACATCTGCAACGCAGGTTTTATCGTCACCGATGCCTCTCGCAACCGCGGTGTCGGCCGACTGATGGGCGAGACTTACCTGGAGTGGGCGCCCAAGTTGGGATACAAGTACTCCGTTTTCAATCTTGTCTACGAAACAAATGTTGCGTCGTGCAAGATTTGGGACGCATTGGGCTTCAAGCGCATCGGGCGGGTCAAGGGGGCCGGGAACCTTAAGAGTTACCCGGACCGGTTGGTGGACGCCATCATTTACGGGCGCGATCTGGGCGACGCGGGCGGCAGCGCGGGCAATGAGGAACTTGTGAGTGAAGAGCGTTTCGACAAGATCAAGTTCTACCTCAAATACGGCCGATATCCCAACGGCGCTGACCGGGCCGAGAAAAGCAGGCTTCGTAGCGCCGCAACACACTACAAGCTCCTGGAGGGCGACATTCTCATGCTCAAGGACAAGGAGGTCATTTCGGATCCCCAGCGCCAGTACGAGATCGCCAGGGGGGTGCACAACCAGGCGCACGCGGGCATCAACAAGACCACGGCCACCATTGCCGAGCGCTACCATTGGAGCCGTATCAAGGAGACCGTCTCGGATGTAATTAGGAACTGTACTGAATGCAAAGACGCGGGGAAAGCTTCTTCGACCCAGAGCCAGCAGCCCTCGCCTGGGATCTCTGCCAATGGCCTCAAGCGCCCTAATCTGAATGCTGCCTCTGGTACCTCCACTTCCAAGCGCTCGTCTCCTTGCCCCTCGGCTACTGGGCCTGTCGCAGACGTGACCACAGCGGCCGGACAGCCCGCGTTGCCGATGCCTGCATCGCCAGACCCAACCCAACTCGCTCCCTTCACCGTGCCATCCCACCACCAGTTCACCGATCCTAGCGCCATCTCCATCCTTCCGCCGGCTCACCCCGGAGCTGATACCACGATAACAGGGCACGTCGCCATGTCTCATGGCGCACACGATCCGATGCTACCAGGGGAATCCCACACCTCACACCAGCCACGACCTCATTCCCATCAGCACCTCCACGCGCCAACCCCTTCAACACAAGTGACATTACCCGCCCTTTCTCCGGAACCGCATACAGTTTCCGTCCCGGTCTACCAGCCCATCGACCCACAAATCATGAGCCAGCCGTCCTCAAGTAGCGATCCACCGCTTCATTCTGCTTTCCGCCACGCCCTCCACGAGCACCATTACTCCTACGACCAACCCTCATCTCCATTGCCCCCGCCCCACCATGCACACCATGCACACCACACACACACACACTCCCACGAGCCGGACGCAGACGCAGATACCTTTCAGGCCTTGCTAAACGCCAGCGAGGACAACAATGGAGAAGAAGAAGACGAAGATGGCGATGTTGTCGTCGGCGGCGTGGTCGTGGACATGGACATGGGGGGCGCTCCCTCATCGGCCGCGGGTAATACCGCTCACCGCCCTCATCATCATACCCACCATCAACTTCTACACGGCCACCAACACCATCATCCTCACTCACACTTTACTACTACTACTCGTGCACATGATACTGATCGGACGAGGGAAGAGGAGGACGAGGCAGAGCGGGAGGCTGAGCGGGCGGCAGTCGATCGGGACATGGAGATGCTGATTGGGTCGCAAGACGACGACGACGACGACGACGACGACGACGACGACAATGACGAACCTGGGCGTCACACCCGTGCTGCAAGGCAAGGATCAACTTCTGGAAGAACCTATTCAGGCGCCATGGATGTGGATGCTGTTGGAAAGGTTGATGGTGGTGATCATGGTGGTGGTGGGAAGATGGATTTGAGCCGGTTATTGTCAGAAGGGAGTGACGATGGGGTAAGGGATGGGCCGGGTGGATAATGATGCTGATAATTTAGCGCTGTGAATGAATGAATGAATGAAAGTTCCTGAAAGCTGCTTGGGATGCACTAAGTGTTGCATCTAAACTTGGGGGTGTTCAATTATCTGCTGGCCGAGTCATCACCATGGGAGAGAAATGGAGATTTAACGGTTCTGCATTTGCACCTATAACCGGCTTAGGTATCGATTGCTTTGGCCATCTACCCACATGCAGTTGTCCAATATGGACTGTATTATTTGCCAAATGGTGATCCGCCTCTTCACCGCCTAGGCATGCCCCGACCCCGTCCACGAAGCGCCCGCTGCGCAGCTCCAGGAGGAAGGGGCTTGCCGGGAGCTTGGGGTGCCGCGCTCTCCTCGTTGCGAATCGTTTCGTCAACCCCGAGGATGAGGCAGGCGGCCTCGGTCGCCGCCTGAATGGCATTGACCTTAACCAGGGCTGGCTCCCACACGAAGCGCGCCATCATGTCGGCGACGCCCTCGTTCTTAAAATCAACGCCAGCCCAGGTGTTGCCCCTCCTGTGCTCGACGCGAAGCTGGTTGAGAATGTCAGTCGCGTCGAAGCCGGCATTGTCACACAGCTGACGGGGAATGATTTCAAGCGCCTTGGCGAAGCTCTTGATAATGGCCTGTTGCTTGTTCCGGACATCCTGGTCGGCGTAACGATGCAGGTATGCCGACAGCTCCATCTCAGTAGCGCCGCCGCCGCCGACGATCGTCTTGTTCCGGATGGCGCGCTTGACGATCATGATGGCGTCGTGCAGCGACCGCTCGACCTCGGCGATGAATTGCTCGGCTCCACCGCGCAGCACCAGCGTGCACGTCTTGGCCTCCGGGCAGTCCTCGAAAAAGTTGAAGCGCTCACCGCCAATCTGCCGCTCCTCAAAGCTCCCGCACGTGCCCAGGTGCTCCGGGCGGATGTCGGAGCACGTGCTCTGGATGGTGGCGCCAGTGGCTTGGACCACGCGCTCCATGTCATCTCCGGACACGCGGCCGGCGCAAAAGATGTCACGGTCTGCAAAGTACTGCGTCGCAAGATCGCCGATAGGCAGCTTGGACAGCACCACCTTGGCGCCGGTCTTGTATACCGCCTCCAGCTTCTTGTAAATGATCTGCCACTCGGCGTCGACGATGGCCTGGTACTCGGACACCTGCTCAACACGGACCTCGGCGTTGTCCTTCTCAGCCTTGAGCTCGAGCTCGACGTTGAGGCACACAATCTTGGGCTTCTTGAACGACTTGGGCTGCTGCTCGAAACCGGCATATGAAAAGGTCTTTTTGAAGGCCACGCCGTTGACAAAGAGCGAGTCTGTCAGGGAGCCGCCGGGGATCTTCTTGATACCTATTAACTTTTCGTTGAGGTCTTCTTGGTCCAAAGACAGAACAGCGTCGACAACCACTGCCTACTGTCAGCTATCGCCGTTCGTCTCTCCGTCCAACAGCAGGAACTCACTCTTTGTAAAGAAGTCGGTGTTGCGCTTGATAAGTTTGCTCGTCATGGCGGTCGCTGCGAGCTTGCTCAGGGTATCCATCCTATTTGCCTCATTTGTGCTGACCTGAATCTCCTTAATCTTGTTCACTGCCAGCGTTGACGCTCTCCTCAACCCCTTGATAATGATCTGAGAGCTGACACCCTGCTCTACGTGCTCCTTGACCTCCTTCAAAATCTCGCCGGCTAGCACAACGACCGATGTCGTGCCATCTCCAACCTCGGCATCTTGTGATCGGGCGATGTCGACGAGAATCCGGGCGGCAGGGTGAACAATATCCAGAAGCTTTTCAAGGAGTCAGAACGAGCCCAAACACCGAGCGTGTTTCATGCGCACCTTCATGACGGTAGCTCCATCATTTGTAATGGTCTGCTTGCCATTGGCATCCACCATTAACAGGTCGCCTCCATAGGGGCCCAATGTGGACTTTATCGTCGCCTGCACGGCGAGACAGGCGTTGATATTAGAAATGATCTGGCCCTTGCCCTGCGAGGTGTCGGTCCCTGGAGGATATCGAGTCAGTGGGGGCCAGCGTATGACCAGTTAAGGTCAAGGAGGGGTTCCTGACCTTCTTTCAGGACGATAATGGTCGGTGTTTGGCCGCCAAAAGACATCTTGCGGCCGGACGCAGAGTGTCAAGGTTAATACGAAGTTGCAGCGAAGCTTTATGTGTAGTTGCAGCGGTAATGGCGAGTATGTTCTGGCGTGGCAGTCGATCTTGCGATATGGGCTGTCCTCGTTCTTTGGCGGGCTCTAAAAAAATATCGACGTCCCTTGCCTGCTTGGGAAGCCATATGGGAGGCTGCAGCTTGAGCAGGAGCACGGGCCAACAAACGAAGAACTGCGCCAAGAAGTCACCTGATGACCTTGCTAACTTTACTTCAACTACACGGTTCCTTACCTTACATAGGTACCTTACTGTCTCACTCTCAGGTTAGATCAGTATTCGTACCTACCTACATATATCTGACTTCCAATGCTGACTTAAGCCTCCTACTATCCTTACGAGAGTAGCATTTGGCAGCCGACTACAGCTTGAAGACTTCCAGCTACATAAGGTATCTTGGTACGGGTATGTAAGCAAACACAACAAAGAAAAGACCGGTAGGGGAACAGGATCATGGAGAGCGCCTACGACTTGAGACAGCTTGGCAGCCAGGAAATCACGGTTGTCATGTTGGCACATGGTGCTCTGAAGGACAAGAAAGGCAAGGCCGCATCACAGGCTTCACAGCCGAGCGATGACTTTCCAACCTCTCTACCTAAGGTAACTGGCTTGACTGAAAACATGACAGCAGGGAAGGTAAGCTCTCTGCTTCCATTCCCATGTACCAGTGACCCTGGGGCCTGGTGCTTGAATTGCCTTTGCAGTTTTGCTAATTTCGCTGCCTCGCCACTAGAGAAAGATTGCTGGATACCTAGACATAGCAACGACTCCAACTGGGAGGACGGTCCGAATCATAAGGAGAGTCATGCCAATAATCACGGACTTCAATTCATGACCTGTCTTCCCTTAACATAGAGGCAGAGTCCTCAAGTCTGATCGCCGGCCATACACGAGCGTCTCTTCAAGTTGAGGTCTTAGAACTCTTCCATCGCAACGACCTTTATCAAGCCGTCTCAAACGTTTTCCCAGCCCCCTACGGTAATGGCCTTCCCTTTTTTTTTTTTTTTTTTTTTTTTT